ACCAGAATCTAATTTTAGCATACTTTCATCATCCCTAAAAGAAACCTGTACCTATTAGTACTTTCATTCCTCATTGTACCTCCCCTCGTCCTCTGGAATCCACTAATCTTTGTCTCTTCAGAATTGGCTTTTCTGAATATTCTCCACTTTTCTTTTTAATTTTTAAAAAAATTCTTTTACAGTGTTGGGGAAGGAAACCAGGGCCTTTCCCATGCTAAGCAAGTGCTCTGCCATTGAGTTATATCCCGACCCCCCCCTTTTTTATGGAGAGGTACTAGGGATTGAACCTAGTGGTGCTCTATCACAGAGCTACACCCCCAGCCCTTTTGAGACAGGGCCTTGCTAAGTTGTGGAGGCTGCCTTCAAACTAATTATTCTCCTGCTTCGGTCTCCTGAGTCACTAGGATTACAGGTGTGTGCCACTATAGCCCTATTCTTTTCAGTCTTGTTTTCTGTCTGCTAGAGCTGCTCCCTCTAATTCCCAGATCTAGCTTGCACAGGAGCACCTCATACCCCACTATTCCTAGATACACTCTCATTTTCAACAGGATCAAATTGCTTTTCAGTCTGTTTTTCATCTCAAAAGCACACATTATGTATGCCATTTAGTAAAAACATGAATATCACCTCTGACAACCTGTCATTTCCCAAGAAAAGAGACACACCAAAATTATGGGTAGGGTGGGAGAGGTAAGAGGAAGAGTTCCTTCCTGGCTGACTGCTTCTACTCTAGTGGTCAATCTGGTAATGAACTAGAATCTAGTAATGATACTATGCTACTGGCCTACATGGATAAACACCACTGAAGAATATAAAATGTTCAACTGCAGAAACTCCAGTCATATTCAGATCCCATTAAATATGTACTGATTCAAATAAAAAACACTGAGAAAATTCAGCAGCTGGACAAATCTAAAACCAGACTGTATTAATGTATACATTATCACCAGATTTTCACAGCAAATGCTACCTTATTAGGATGTTTAATAGTGTGCACACGTCACCACAGTTGTACATGCCTGCTGTCCGCTACTTCTCTGAATGCTTATTTCATATAATCTTAGTACTCCATACATCAACTTTTTTTTCTCTTAAATTTTTCTTTTCCCAGGAGGGGTGTGGGGAGGAGGGGTACTGGGAATTGAACTCAGGAACTTTCTATCTCTGAGTTATATCCCCAGCCCTTTTAAAAATTTTATTTGAGGCAGCATCTTGCTAAGTTGCCCAGGCTATCCTCAAACTTTCAATCCTCCTGAGTCACTGGAATTACATCCTGAACTGTTTTTGCAGGTATATTTTACTCCTAGGATGAGTCTTGGGACTGAATGAGTTTCGGATTTGCAGTGAAGGCCAGGTGTGATAGCATGGACCTGTAGTCATAGCACTGGGAGGATAAGAGAAGGTCACTTGAATCCAAGTATTCAAGACCAATCTGGGCAATATAGCTAGACCCCATCTTTTTTTTTTTTTTTTTTTTTTTTTTTTAAAGAGAGAGTGAGAGAGGAGAGAGAGAGAGAGAGAGAGAATTTTTAATATTTACTTTTTAGTTCTCGGCAGACACAACATCTTTGTTGGTATGTGGTGCTGAGGATCGAACCCGGGCCGCACGCATGCCAGGCGAGCGCGCTACCGCTGAGCCACATCTCCAGCCCCATAGTGACATTTCTTTTTTTTTTTTTTTTTTAAAGAGAGAGTGAGAGAGGAGAGAGAGAGAGAGAGAGAGAATTTTTAATATTTACTTTTTAGTTCTCGGCAGACACAACATCTTTGTTGGTATGTGGTGCTGAGGATCGAACCCGGGCCGCACGCATGCCAGGCGAGCGCGCTACCGCTGAGCCACATCTCCAGCCCATAGACCCCATCTTAAAAAAAAAATCTGAGGGTACCCAAACTACAAGAGTAATAGGGTAAAAAGGCCTGTATTTTTACAATATCTTCAGGTCATTAAAATCAATCAGTCTAGCCTTTCTGGATCTCCTAGCTCCAAATCCATTCTTTAGACTAAATCATATTCCTTCACTTGTATTTCTTAAAAGAAAAAAATAAGTTCTTTTTTAGGATACATGAGCTCTATAATATCCTGATTACCATCCTCTACCAAAATTTCTACAGTAACTTATGTGTGAATATGTTTACACTACTAATCTTTTTTTTTTTTGGTACCAGGGATTGAACCAGGGGCACTTAACCACTAAGCCACACCCCCAGCTTTTTTTTTTTTTTTTTTTTTTTAAGAGAGCGGGTCTCCTGAGTTACTTAGCATCTTGCCTAAGTTGCTGAGGCTGGCTTTGAACTCCCAATCCTCCTGCCTTAGCCTGCCAAGCCACTGGGATTAAAAGCATGCACCACTGCACCCGGCCTCTTTTTTGCTATTTAACATGGCTGGGAAAGGAACTAAAGTACTCATTCTATGGTAAGCAGATGCTCTACCCCTGAGCTACACCTTCAGCCCACTGACAAAACCCTTACTCCAGCTACAAGGAACAGTCCTCTCTACAGAACAGTTAATTCATTCTCAATTCTTCTTTTTTTAAATAATCAGCTTTTCCTACTTAATCTTTTTCCTTTTTCTACTACTGGGGTTTGAACACTGGACACTCTACCATTAAGCTATATCCTCAGCACTTTTTTTTGGAGACAGGTTTGGCTAGTTGATCCCCCTGCCTCAGCTTCCCTAGGAGCTGGAATTACAAGCATGTATCCCTTTGCTCAGGCTCCTATTTAATCTTAACTACTTGATGTTGCTGAATTAGTGGTACCAAGAAAAGATTATTAGACATCATAAGAAACACTATCCAGGGCTGGGGAAGTAGCTCAGTAGTAAAGTGCTTGCCTAGCAAGCATAAAGCCCTGGATTCAATCCCCAGCACCAAAATTAAATAATAAGAGATCTTAGAAAGTCTATCCAGCACCAAGGCGTCTGAAACACTTGGAGAATATAGGGGAGAAGTTTCTACTATAGGTTACTGCCCAGAAGAATATGAACAGTGCATAAAGAATTTAAGACTGTCACGAGCATTACACCCAAGAGAGATTTTGGTAAAGTTGTCTCTCTACTGAGAACAATTGCTCGGAAGAATGGGCTAGAAGAAGGCAGAATACCTACTATAAACAATATACCATCCATAAAGAGGGCATTTTCAAGGCCCTACAGGACCTGGGCCTTAACTCTGATCTCACCGCCTACCATTCTGAGCACAGCATACACTGAAGACAGGAAAGAATGAACAGTGAATGGATGAGAGGGGGGGCGACTAAAAGAGACTAAAGAAAGAGGTTTTGACTTGATCCTGAAGGAGACGGGGAACTGTTTGAGGAGTCTTTAAACTGGGTAGTGACACTGTCAAGACTGCACGGTCTAGATGCAAAGTGGAGACTGGAATGGATGCGGAGCCCAAAGGACGAGGAGACCACTGAGGAGAAGAAATCCCACGGAGGGCGGAGGGCGCTGCCTGGTGTGTCTGGGGAGAGGGCCTGTTAATGAGTCCAGAGAGATGACAACGAAACCATCAGCTTAGGGCTGGGCAACCTCACAGGAACTGCCCAGTGGAGCCTAAGGTCGGGGTGGGGGGGAAGGTGGGGCCTAAAGGAGGAAGCGAAAACCGGCAAGAGCAGAAGTCTCCCGGGGGTCCCCGGAAAGCTCCTCCTGGGCGCCCCTGCAGAACCGCCTCCGAGGCCTCCCTCCTCCCCGCCTCCCCCAGCTCGCCCGCTGACCGAACGAATTGAGAAAGTCCGCGATTTTCTTGATGCTGCTGGTGATGACTTCAATGTATTCCCGGTTCGCCCAGTCTTGGTGAATTTCTCGTTGCACCGGATCCTCCTGTCCCGCCATGGCGGCCGTCTGAAGAAGAGCGAGTGCGCCGGCGCCTAGACCCCATAGGCCGCCAGTGCGCCTGCGCCGCCAGCCCACGCCCAATCGGTAACCACTAAACCCCGACATTGTGGTGCGCCTGCGCACTGTAGCGCCCTCGCCTGCGTTCTCGCTCCGCTCCCACGCCCTGGAAAACAGATGCCTGAATTCCCTGGGCGAGCTGCACACCCACGCCTGTCACTGGCAGTTCTGGTCATTAGGGGGCGCGTGGGCTCCCCTAGCCTCCTCCCTTAGCGGCTCCAAGATCTTTTGCGCAATCTGTCTCAGCAGTAAGACAGGCATGGTTGATTAAGCCACACTAGATACMAGTCACTTAGGAAATGCCTTTCATATGATGCACCATGTAATATGACGTCCCACTTTGCGTTTAACAAATGAGCAAAACATAGCAACAATCGGGCCCAGGGGCTCACGTTTGTAATCCCAGCGACTTGGGAGGCAAAGGCAAGGAGGATCACAAGTTCAAGGCCAGCCTGGGCAACTTAGCCACTGTCTCAAAGTAAAAAAAAATAAAAAGCGTTGGGGTGTTAGCTCAGTGATAGAGCGCCCCTGGATTCAGTTCCCAGTAACGCAAATAAACGTTTACCATAAGATCCAGTGATGGAGAGGCCAAGCCAAAATAGGTAGGGTCAGAGGTAGTTGGTCACAATGTTAACTAGTATCATCCTTTCAGAAGGAATCTTGCAATCTGGTAGCAATCGCCAAGTAAAACATTTCAAAGCTTTTGACCCCTAATCATTTCATTAAAAAAAATCAGTGGGGAAAAAACCCACAAAGACCACTTTAACCACAAAGATGTTCTTTGTGGTAGTAGTATAACTATGGAAGAATGGCTAATATTGTAAATATTATGCAGTCATGAAATGTTAATCATGATCACTTTGGCAACATAAAATGTCACATGATAAACTGAAGGGGAAAGCAATACATATTTTTCTTTAGTGGCAACTATGTGTTAGTTGATTAGGGCTGCCCTGGAAAGGGAATACTGGCCTCCTGGAGCAAGTTCTCTAGAAGGGAAGTTGTTATAAAAGCCTGAACCCGGCCGGCCCCTCCCATCTCTCTGCTTCCTGCCTCTCCTTGTGTTTCCATATTTCATGTATGTTGCCACCATGTGCCATGGGGCCCTCTCCAGAGCCTACACCACATTGTTATGGATTCAGCCTCTACAATTGCAAGGTAAAGAACTTTTTTTTTTCCTTCATAAGTAACCTGCCTCAGCTATTTCATTGCGGGAATAAAAAAGCTAATTCAAGGAGATTCTGGTTTTCCCTATGTTGCTATATATCACAATTGGAGGGATGATAAATGACACTTCCAGGAACTCATCCCCAGCCCAAGGTAACCATTCTTAATGGTGCTGTGCTAGGACAATTATGGGTGTACAAGAAAAAGGCAGGTGGGCTATTAGTTCCCCCCCCTCCACAAATACTACTGCTAGACAATGCAGTAGATAGGCACTGGGGATTCAGGAGTTAGCTTGGTGGGCTCCTTCCTTCCCTCAGCCATCCAGGGCAATTGAAGCAATGCTTACAAACTTGACAAGTCACTTTTTCAGTATGATGAAAGCATCAGTTTTTCAGCATTGCAACATGAGACAGAATCGCCCTCCCCAACCTGTGAGTACTAGTAGATGAACCCAGGATGCACTACCACTGAGCTACACCCTATCCCTTTTTATTTTAGGGGGACAGGGTTTCACTAGGGTGCCCAGGTTGATCTAGAACTTTCGATTCTCCTGCCTCAGCCTCCCCAGTAGTTGTGATTACAGGGCATATGCCACCATTCCCCAGAAGAATAATCCTGAAGTTTAACAGAAGCAACAGAAGCAGACAGGTTTTCAATCAGGAAGTCAAGGAAAGATTTTTTTTTTTTCCTCTCTTGACAGGCAAACATTTGTAATAAGTTCTGTCTCCTTGCACCAGATCATTTCAATACAGCAGCAAAAGCCTTCAGGACCCTCGGTCCTTAATCCTGAATATGGGCAGAAGGTAATAATACACATTATTATTACTAGTAGTAGTAGTACTGGGGATTGAACCCATGTATGCTTAACTGCTGAGCAACACCCCCAGGCCTTTTTTGTATTTTATTTAGAGACAGGGTCTCGCTGAGTTGCTTAGGGCCTCGATAAATTGCTGAAGCTGGGTTTGAACCCGCAATTCTCTTGCCTTAGCCTCCCAAGCTGCTAGGATTACAGGCGTGCACCACCACCCACGGCTTGATACAGATTTTTATCCCTAACTACAGGTCCAGGATTTTTACACCTGACCACAGCCTTTGTGGTGGGGGTTTCTGTTTTCTGTGACCTGATCAAAGGCTCACAGGTATGGTAGGATGGGGATGGGAAGGAATTCTAACTAGCCCTGCTGAAACCTGAGTCCTGGACCAGGCATTCCAAGGAGTGAGTGGGAGGCCAATCCTGACACCTCCTAGTGGGGCGGGGCTCGGATTCTCCCCCAGGGGTCCTGGGTCACAAAGGCGGTTGCCAAGCGCCGGTGGAGAAAAGATGCTGCTGCCACTCTGGAGCGTGCGGCCCGAGGAGTTCAGCAGGTGAGCCCCCGGCCCGGATGGTGGGACCGGGCCCGGGCTCCCACCTCCTCTTCCGCCTTGGCCAGCGCCGTCTGGCCACCGCACCCGGGGAGGGGTCCCAGGGGGACAAGCCCCTTCTCCAAACACTCCAGCTCCTCGGGATCTGTTCACAYAGTTCACGAGGACCTCAGCTGCATTTGGGCGCTGCGTTCCCCTTTCCAAGGTGGGGAAATCAAGGGACTGGGTCCCTTGGAATGGGAGGAATGGTATGAAAGGGAAAACTTTGGGGCCAGAAAAACCAGGTGTTCCCTATTTCGGAGCTACTACAGTATCTTTAGTAGACTTCCTATTCAATCCCTCCTGGAATGGGTGACAGTGACTTCTTCTTTTTCTTTTTTTTTAAGAGAGAGAGAGAGAGAGAGAGAGAGAGAGAGAGAGAGAGAGAGAGAGAATGAGAGAGAATTTTTAATATTTATTTTTTAGTTCTCGGTGGACACAACATCTTTGTTGGTATGTGGTGCTGAGGATCGAACCCAGGCAGTACCCATGCCAGGCAAGCGCGCTACCGCTTGAGCCACATCCCCAGCCCAAGTGACAGTGACTTCTTGCTTGGGATAGGCTGAACCATTTTTAAACCTTGTGTGAAGGGGTGCTAAGCCCTCTCTTCCATGTTGTTTCTGAATATTCAGGCTGGACATGTGACAAAGCCTTTTAACTTAGGCTGTGTTTCCTCTTAGGAGGGTCAAGAAAAGGATCCTGAGGATTTGACTTCTTTTTTTTGGGGGGGGGGGAGGAGGGGGGCATGTTCAGAGGAATTAATATTCTCCATCCCATTTTGTCATAGTGGCATACCAAAGTGGCCCCAATCTTGTATGTATGTTCTTAAGGTCAAGATATCTTGCATCAAAAGCCCTTCAGAGACTGGAATAGATAATTATCCCTTGGGTGCCAATTTCTCATCCTAAGGCAGCCCAGATATTTGAATATTTAGTAATTTGCAGGAAGGCTGTGTAGAACATGAGAAACATACCAGCTGCAGTAAACCAACCCATCTCCTTCATACTAACCATTGCTGGGGCAGTTCTGGGTTGAAATGTCACCAACAATTCTTTTTAAAAGATGAATTTCATTGCTTCAACACTATGGTGAAGCTATCAACTTCTCAATGATGACAATTACTGGGTGGGATGAGATMAAATCTACCACTGTATTTTGTGGGAGAAGCAAAGAGAGAGAAAAATACACTTGGCTAGAAAGAAAAGGGATTTGCTATATATGTCCCTTGACATAAAAGGTAGATACTCAAGAAATGTGAGCATCTCTTGAAATCAGTAAGGCCCTTAAGTATTGTCAGTTTTGAAACAGAATGATGGCAAGCTCCAAATCTACTTGGATAAAGTATGAGTTAGCAATCTCCTCCCAACACCCCCCCCCACCCCTTTTTGGGAGGTGGTGCTTCGGATTGAACCCAGGGCCTTGTGCATGTGAGACAAGCACTCTACCAACTGAGCTCTATCCCCAGCCCACCTCCCAACCCTTCATCTTCAAAGACAAAATCATCATCATCATCATTATCATCATCATCATCATCAAGGTCTTAACCAGTGGGTCTCACATGGATGAAAAAACAAAAACAAAAACCCATACCCAGAAAAACAAAAACGCTTTAGAATATTTTAAGAGACTCGCCCGTGGAAATGTTTCCCCTCAGCCTGGCGTAACTCCTCTAAGGTGGTCCCCAGTTGCCTAGGACTCAGAAGAGCTGTTCCCTTTGTATCAGGAAACAGACTTTTAGGGGCAAGAGGGAGGAGACTGTCTCCATTATGAAAAATAGTGCAAGCTGGCTGAAAGTGCTTAAAAGGAACAGTGTAAGTTGTTCTTAAACTGAAAAGTACAGTGGAGTCCCTTGGAGGGTTTGTATAAATGCAGGTTTCTGGACCCCACCCCAGAGTTTCTGATTCTGTAGGTCTGAACTGGGGCCTAAGAATTTGCATTTCTACCTACTTCCCAAAGGTTGTTCAATCTGTTAGTCCAGAAAGCATACTTGGGAACCACTGATGTTAAAATACATGGCATTAAGGGTGACCTATTTTTAAGATATGGCCCGAGCTGCTTCTAATCTCAAATATTAAGATCTCATCATGAAGTCTCAGCACCCTCTGTCACCCCAGAGGCATATATTCTGTCATGAGCAGTTACCAACACAGCACAAGTCCCAACAGTGGACTGGGACATTCCATGTCAGACAAATCCATTTCCTCATTTGTAGGATGGGTTAAAACCTCCCTTCAGAGGCTTGTAAAAGGTTTAATAGAATTTTAGTGCACATATCAGTTGACACATTCAATACTCATTACCATCCCCATCCCCTACTGTCCTTTCTAGAATTACTAATACCCTATCACTAATAGAATCTGTTCATGGGAACCACAAAGTAAGTTTAAGTCAGTAATGAGACAGATGTGAACTGTCATGGCCATGACCTCGCCGGGGAAATTCCATGTTTTTGATTCCTCTCCTTTAGGACTGTCAATGGCAGGATATCAGCTCTGGTCACCATGGACCCCACTGGATGAGAGCTTCCAATGGCTGCGGCATACAACACCTACCCCTTCCTCCAAGCACCCCTTTAGGGCCTCCCCCTGTTTTCCACATACCCCTTCTGACCTTGAAGTGCAGCTGTGCTTTCAAGAGGTCACTCTAGTCCTAGACAGCCCGTTCCTGGAAACTGGAGTGAGTCCCAAGTTACCCTGCCACACGTCAGAGCTCCGAACCATGAGCAACAAGAAAGGACTGGTCAGGAAGCCCCAGCCCATCCGCCTCAGTGGAGTGGATTCTGTCTTTGGCAGGGTCATCACAGCTCAGCCACCCAAGTGGACTGGGACCTTCAGAGTTTCAGACAAGTCAGCCTTCTGCAAAATTATCAGCAGGGAGCACCAATGGCCCACTGGACTTAAGGAGCCTCAGATTCAGATGACAGTGACTATGTGCAAACAGATGCTGCGCTCCATCCTCCTGCTGTATGCAACATATAAGAAGTGCACCTTTGCCTTACAACACTCCAAGTAAAGGGTCCCCATCTGATCCCCCTAATCTTCACACCATGTTCTTTGGTATGTACCTGAAGCTTACACAAATCTGTTCACATAAATGAAACTGTGACACTGCCCCAGCTATTCTGCTTTCCTGTGAAGCAGTGATAATTCAGGAGCCCCTGTCTCTCCAAAATAAGGGGAGGGTGGGCAGTGATAACAGTGCAAGGGAGAACATTTCCATTGTAAAGTTGAAACGACCATTTAAAAGAGTCAAACTAGCATTGACATGTACATGTGATAAAGAACCATTAAACCATATAAATCAATGAGCCTACTGTGAACTCACTTAAACACCAAAGACAATAATGAATTGGGGGAAAAGGGGATTTTGAGAAAGGAGTGTGCATTTCTTTGTACCAGAGGAAGATGGGGTCAAAAATGTTTATATGAGTCAAGAATTAGTTTAAAAATTGAATAGCCTTCCCCCATCAAAACAATGACCAAAAAACAATACCTCAGGATAGTACTTAAATGGGTAGAAATATTAACAAATATTAAACAATCTTTACAGCCTGGCAAGAAAGAACTTGGTAGCAGCACTGAAATTGGGCTTTTTGGCAGAAGAAAGGAGAGCCTTCCATTTTAGATGAAGTATATTCATAGTGTTCTGTTTCTAATAAACAATTTTGTAGTATTCTTGTAATTAGATTATAGGTGCAATTCAGAATAATGTGGAAATAAATATTATATGTATGCAAAGTCAGCATAAATTTGATGATGCCTCTTCTTCCTTTGTCTTATACTATTATAAGGATCCAAAAAATWATAAGGTAGTAAGATATTCCTTTTGATTCTGTCTTGAGTATCGAAAGTTCAGGTCACTTCTCTAGAAAGATCACAAAAATGATACCATCATATGTGAGAACAGTCCTTGTAATAGAGGAGATGATTTTGAGCAGAAAAACTATGTTGGCACCTATCCCTTTTATTTCTCTGCACAAACTTCAATTCTACCTAGTCCTTGAATAATAAAAGAAATCTAAACAAGAAAAAGGTGACTAAGGCAAAACTTAGAATTTATTTGTTAAAGTGATATAAGCCTAAATTCTAGAATAAATCTGTTTCAAAACTAGTGCACAAAGTCCAAAATCATGACTCAGAGAGTTTACTCTGCATTAGAGCACAGCCACATTTATCCAAACCAGAAACAATGCTTCACTGGGATTCCAAGCCAGGGACTTTGACAATGATAGACAATCTGTGAAATTCACAAATTAAATAAACCCCCTCTTGGAGGACAAAACAGGATACTTCCAAACAGAAAGAGCAGATTTCAAACCCTGAATACAAAATGGTAAGAGAGTGGCAGAGAAGAGAAAGACAGCAGCAGCCTCTTGGGGTCTAATCAGAGTTGTCGTCACTCTCATCACTATATTGCTCCTTTTCTCCATCACTTGCTTCATCATCTTCACCATCCTAAGGAGCAAAGGACAAGTAAGTATTTTAGGCCATTGATCTACAAGACTCAATGAATTGCAAAAAAGTTCCCACCAATATATACTATACTACTTCATTGTTGAAACCAATRATAGATTTTAAACCACTGTTATGGTTTGGATGTGAGGTGACCCCCAAATGCTCCTGTGTTAATGCAAGGATATTCAGAGGAGAGATGATTAGATTATGAGACCTGCTACCTAATTATTCTAATTTGAATCGACTGGCTGGGTGGTAACTGTAGGCAGATGGGGCAAGGAAAAGTGTCACAGGAGGTGTGAGTGAAGGGGGGGATCATCTTCCCTGTGGCCCCTTCCTCACCTGCTGTCTCTGCTTCCTGGCTGCCACAGTGGAGCAGTGCTCCTCCACCACAACCTTCTGCCAAGATGCACTGCCTCATCTTAGGCCCAGAGAAATGGACTTGGCTGTCTATGGACTGAGACCTCTGAAACTGGGAGCCCCAAATAAACTTTTCCTCTTCTTAAGTTGTTCTTGGATATATGTTGGTCACAGCAATGAAAAGCTGAATAATACCTTCTTTGTAAAATGAACCAGAGGCTCTTCTCAWTTTTACTGAAGTATTGGGGATCAAACTTAGGGCCTCACACATGCTAAGCAAGTGCTCTACCACTGAACTATATCCCCAGCCCTTCTTATTTTTTGAGACAGTCTCCCTAAGTCATCCAGGCTAGTCTGGAACTTGAAATCTTCTGCCCTTAGCCTCCTGAGTAGCTGGAATTATAGGCATGTAACACCATCTTAATTCTTGAGCTCTAAGCCAAGACCATGGATGGAGATCATTTTGATACTGACTCATCCCATACTGCAAGCAAACCAAATTTTCATGATTTTTAAAATTGGCCATAGCTTTCCAGCTCTTCTTTTTTTTTTTTTTTTTTAAGAGAGAGTGAGAGAGAGAGAATTTTTTAATATTTTTTAGTTTTCGGCGGACACAACATCTTTGTNTGTGGTGCTGAGGATGGAACCCGGGCCGCAAGCATGCCAGGCGAGCGCGCTACCGCTTGAGCCACATCCCCAGCCCCATCCAGCTCTTCTACATGGATGTGACATAAACAAAATCACAATATGCTTCAATAGAAAATGAAATAGACATTAAAAGTACTGGCATATTCAACAGGGAATACACATAAAATTGCTTCGAAAATCTAGTATGGTAGGTCTGTTTAGGATAAAATACAAAGCTAACAGGGACCTGCCTGCTTCAGGTGCAGGAGGCATATTATACATTAAAACAGAGAACCATGCAAATAATTTTTTGTACTAAACGGCCTTTAGGACATACAGCAGGAATTCTTGTATCTGAACTTGTTGATGTCCATGACCCACTTGAATTATAGCAAAATTTTTATAAATATGTAAATTTTTATTTAGCTTTCTTTAAATTAACAAAAGCATTGAAAAAAAAGGAGTTCTGTTATTTTATTCCTATGTGGTAGCAACTTCTGACTCTAGGTTTTGGCTTCCATCAAAAGCTTTCTTTGGTGATTTTTTTTGGGCAGGGAGGAACCAAAAATTGAACTCAGGGGCACTTGATCACTGAGCCACATCCTCAGTCCTTTTTTTTTTTTTTTTGTATTTTAGAGATAGGGTTTCACTGAGTTGCTTAGCAACTCTTTTTTGCTGAGGTTAGCTTTGAATTCATAATCCTCCTGCGTCAGCCTCCTGAGCCATCTAGATTATAGGTGTGGGCCACCAAGCTGGCTTGCTTATTTTTGTCTATTCAAACATGTTTAAGTGGCTTAGCTCATCTTCTCAGCACTTAGAAAATATACTAAACTCTTCTTTTCTTCCTTCTAAAATAGTTTCATACATGAGTTTGTAGAAAACAGTACAATACACAATGGAAGAGAAAATTTTTTTCCTTTGTTTTTAGTGTTGGGGATTGAATCCAGGGACTTGTGCATGCTAAGCACAGGTGTTACTAGTGAGCCACAGCCCAAGTCACTTGGAAGACAATTTTCAACTCCATAACACATGCCACAGCTTGAGATACTCAAATGATTCTAAAATTGTGAACTTTTTTTTCTGGGCCCCCAGAATTCATAAGTAAAGAAATAGTATTATATCATCAAATATAAGCAGGGAAAGGTCTGCATTCTACCAATTCACAACAGTTAACATGAAACCATCAATGCCAGACTCTGGTGCCCTTTCGATACCTCTGTTGCTTTGCTCTTAGTGAGCTGGGATGACGTGCCACCCTCACTCTCATATGCTGTACTCTCCTGGGAATTCTGGGATATAATCTCTTCACCCTAAATATGGAAGGACAGAGACAAATGGTGGGTTATAATGATTACATTAGGGTTCGTAGGAGGAGAAAGGCTGAGCAATACAAAGAAAGATGTTCTAAGTCATTCAAAATACCAACACCAACTTGTGTTACAGCATCTAGGGAAGGAATACTCAACCCCAGGTTTCTGGGATGCCTGTGGCTCTGATATAATATGTATTTCTACAAAAAAGAATTCATCTTCGTATTCTAGTATCACCTAGATTTACAAGGCAAGAATGTATTAGTGACTTTTGGTTATCGTTGAATATAGATCTMGTTTCCCCAGTATTTTTTCTTTCTTTCTTTTTTTTTTTTAAATATTTGTTTTTTGGTTTTAGGTGGACACAACATCTTTATTTTTATGTGGTGCTGAGGATCAAACCCAGTGCCTCACACATGCTAGGCAAGTGCTCTACCTCTGAGCCACAACCCCAGCCCTCCCCGGTATCTTAAAGTAAATAAGTTCCAACACAGGAACCACAAACAGCTATGAAGAGGCTGAAGAACAGTCAAGTGGTTGAAGAACATCAACTCTGGATCAGAACTGTTTGGACTCAAGCTCTGGCTCTATTCACTTGCTGCTGACAGGCCTTACATAAGTTACTTCTCTGAGTTTCAATTTTCTCAAATAGAATCAATCTCATACAGCTGAGGTGAAGAAAAGAAGCTAATTCTCGGGTCTATTTTCACATATAACCAATTATAAAACTATGATATTGTCAGCATGAAAAAAAAGGGCTTAAATCCTTTATGAAAAATGCTGTAAGCAATATTATGATCAATACAAGATTTCATTCAATCAGACAACTGTAAGACCCTAGAAATGTTCATTTGTTAAAGTTAGCCAAAATGATTTCAGGAAAAGTACAGACTAGGGCTTAAAACTGCCTTGGAGAGGACTGAACCAATCTGGCTCTATTTCTGAGACCTGTTTACACCAATGGCACCTTTGCTGCCTGTCTCTAGTACAGCCTGTGACTAGAGACCACAGCAATGTACCCTAGCTTTAAAAACTAAACAACCAGACTTCAAAGCAGTCTCATTGGCAAAGCAGGGCTTAAGTGACCTTCCTTACATTCCTTCTGATGTTCTATCAAGGAATGGGAATGAGGCATTAGCACTGGTGGTCCAAAGGCTTACCTGCAAGTCCCGGTTTTTGAGATTGCCCAGCCAGAAAGCCTCTCTGCAATTGTTGAGGACCAGCATTGCTTTGACTCTGCAAACTAAGAGCTCCAGGGTCTTTTTAAGTAAAGGCACATGTTTGGTGAGTCTCATGTCCTGGTGAATCTGAATGAAAATACATACATACATCTCATCTGAGCTTATTGTCAAGCATAAATCTGTACACTGAATGACAGCATAGCCCTGTCAATTTGAGACAGGGTCTCACTAAGTTGCTGAAGCCCAACTTGAACTTGTAATCCTCATGTCTCAGCCTCCCGAGTTGCTGGGGTAACAATCATGCGCCACCTCACCTGGCACCAAAAATATTCTTGAGCCAATATTACATGGATATTAAAAAAAAAAATCTCTGCTTAGCACAGAGTCCTTACAATTCTATTGCTCAGAACTTTTCAACTTAAAACCAGGAGAGGAAATAAGTAATAGGAACTGGCTCAAAGAATCATTTGGTTTTCCAGTGACTATAGAACCCTAGGATTCCGTGTTCCTTCAGAAAAAAAGGTGTCAATGGTTTATTAACTCTAAGAGGGTTTCAAGCAGAAAAACCCTTCAATKCGAAAATGTTCTCACAACAGATGTGCCCCTTGACAACTAAGTAGTCCAGCTGGAAAATCTGAGATGGCTGCTTTAGCAATACCTTGCCCAACAGTGCCACCCGTGACCTAGTGTTTTTCCCACCCAGAGCACTTTGTAAGATTTCTTTTCTTTTTTTTTTTTCTTTTTAATTAGGGATTGAACCCAGGGATACTTTACTACTGAGCTATATCCTCAGTCCTTTTTATTTTTTTGAGACAGGGTCTCACTAAGTTGCCCAGTCTGGTCTCAAACTGTGATCCTCCTGTCTCAGCCTCCTGAGTGGCTCGGACCACAGGTGTGAACTACCATGCCCAGCCATCCAGCAGCATTCTATACTCCTCACCCAAGAAGCATTTCTAGAGAACGGCTATGGGATCTGAATCAAATTACAGATGCAGAACTTCCCTTTAGACAACTGCCCAATATCAACCAGCAACTAAGGATCTGAATAGTCATAAAATGCCTTTGGACACAGTCTAAGATCTAAAGGCTTAAAGAAGAGGTAACAAAGGAAGAAGTAAATAAACCAATGGAACTCCCAACAGCACTTGCAGATCCAGCCAGCAGTGCCTGACCTACTCCCCTCTCACCTTGGAATGCCCACACAGGTGATGAAGCAGCCTTGTGTCCAGCTGGAAGGTTTCCAGTAAGCTCAGCACATCTTCCTAAGATAACAAAATTCATAAATGCAGCATGAAATATTCTCATTTCATTTTAGATGCAAGATATCCTTGTAACTGAGAGAATCAAAGATGATACATTCTACAGGTTGCAGCCTATGGTGACAATCGTCTTCATTTGGCCCTCAGAAACAGAATTAGCTAAAGACATTTCTCTAGTGTCCCATTTCTGCCCCTACTGCCATAAGACCTTGACTATAGAGCTAAATAGATTACATCTCAATTTTCCCCACCTCTCCTTTCTCTTTTAGGGTTATAAGGGATTAACCAAATATCCTAGGTGTTTTATTATTGGTGTTTTGCAAATTTTACTTGCTAAATACGTATAAGAAATCATTTGTTTCTTTCCTTACTTCATTAATCTATCCCTGGGTACTACTTTACTAAAGAAACTATCAAGATTGTTCTTTAAAACAGCAAAGTAGGGGCTGGGGTTGTGGCTCAGTGGTAGAGTGCTAGCCTAGCATGTGCAGGGCCCTGGGTTCGTTCCTCAGCACCACATAAAAATAAATAAAGTAAAGGTATTGTGTCCAACTACAACTAAAAATAAATATTAAAAAAAAAAAACAGCAAAGTATTTTGTGACACAAATAAACTGCATCTTTATTATTCCAGAGTAGACCTAGGGAAGCACAAAGTAGCAATCAACTGAATACAAGGTCCTGGGAGTGCAGTAGCACAATGAAATCAAGCTTAAGAGAAAAAGCACCATTAGGGCAGAGGCACAGGAGGGGTCTAAACAGTTCTGCCCAGAATGTGAGCAAGGAGACTGTTCCCACTCCCACCCCCAACCCTACCCCATAAGCCACTATGCATATACCCTCCAAGCAACTTGATTTTTTTAGCAAGGAGACTGTTCCCACTCCCACCCCCAACCCTACCCCATAAGCCACTATGCATATACCCTCCAAGCAACTTGATTTTAAAAAATATATATATTTCTTAGTTTTGGGTGGAGACAATATCTTTATTTTTATGTGGTGCTGAGGATCCAACCCAGTGCCTCATGCATGCTAGGCAAGCACTGAGCYACAAAAGCAGTCCCCAARCAACTCTTGAGAGTAACTCTTTGCTCTCTGCACTTACCCGGTGTTTTCTGAAACTGAAGTCTAGGAGTGGCATACACTGCTTCAGAAATGCTTCCACAAAGAGACGTCCATACTGAAGAAAAGAGACACTGGTGACTTCTTTCACTTGAAAGGCCCCTGCTGAAGCAGCATAGCATCACCAGCCCAAAGGCATTATGTTCCTTTTTTATATGTAAAAAATAGTTGGGAGTAGTCCAAAAGGTTAATTTGGAGAAGGTAGTTTAATATGAAAATTGTCTGTTATAAAGCCCAGAATTTGATGGATTACCTATTTCAGACACAGCGAAAAGCCAAAGGCCTAACTCAAGAATGAGAGCAGAGAGGAGCAAGGGGAACTCCCAACTCTTGAGAATGAATGACTCCCAAGAGGAGGAAACTGTGTAGGGTTGAGGGAGCCTACACCAATTTCCAATATTACCAGATCAAAGAAATCATCCCTTGTCCCGGACTCCCCCATCTCCCAGTGTATGAGAGTAGAGAGGCCAGAAGATAGAATGGGGCACCAACCCACTTGGAAGGAGACATCAGGAGTGGGAAAGAAGCATTCTCTCTACAATATTCCCATTGGGTTTACTATCAAATCTAGAGCTAATCTGGGAAATCCCCATAGAGAGGAGTCATGAAGACATAGAATATATCAGTTTCCACATTCACAAGGCCACCAAAGGCCTTTCCTCTTCCCTCTTTTTTTTCTTCTTCTTTTTTAAACAGCGCTGGGGATGGAACCTAGGGTCTTGCACAAGTTAGGCAAGCCTTGTACCACTGAGCTAACATATCTATTGCCTTCCCTAAGGCTGTTAGCATAGAATACATCCTACAGCCTCTGACGTATGCAAGGTATTGGCAACTCATTTTAGCTGAGGCCTCTTTAGAACAACCACAAGAAGAAGAAATATTGAACAGGGCCAGTAAAGCTCTCACCTTCAAACATACATGCAGAACAGGATGACTATCAAATACCTGGAGGTGAAAAGACAAGAAACCAAAGCTAAGGATGGCTCCTTTGAGCATCCCAGCACAGCTCTGGGTACTGCAGAGAAATCTAAAACGAAGACAGCAAGTCAACAGTTTAATTACAAATTAATTTACGGAACAGAGTAACTGCCATAACTGAAGTCAAAGAAAGGAAGAAATGAGCAAAGAGGGACAAGAGATTGATTCTAACTGGAGATGTTAGAATATGACATAAGAGGGCCAAAACCTTGATCTGAAGCTTTAAGAAAAACTTTTTATAAGTGAAGTGAAATAGTAAGAGAATGACATCCAAGGCTGAGGGACCAACCTGAACAGAATCTTGGAGAGAAAGCACTAGTTTGAAAAATAATGAAGACACTGAGGGTTGGAAAAGGGAGTGAGATTAGAGAGGACCCAGAGCAAGGTGAGAGAAAATGACAGAGATTAAGTATTATTATTGTGTGTCTCGGGAGGCAGGAAGAAAAGGAAAAAGACATTGCCTAGGAGAGAAAGGGGTTAGCATGGATGGGCAGGAGAACAGGCTATAAGACAATGGAAATGTGTGTGTATGGAGGAGATACGTCTCAGGAAGGGTGAGGACAGGAGCAAACAGGATCCATTTTGGAAGCCAGGGCCTCATTTTCCGCAGTTATCTGGATAACTGGAGCCTCCATGCTCACTTTCATCAGGTTGATGAGGATACTAAAGTCTCGAACAGCCATGTTCCAGTAGAGAAGCTTCTCTTCATGAATCTGGAGACAACCAAACAGATGCCTCTGAATCACAGCTCACAGAATTATTCTTATCCTGTACTCCCAACTAATGCACAGTTCTTCAATCACACAGCTATTCAGAGGTTAAAGCTAATTACGCTACCAAAGAAATGTGGCAACCAGTGCACCCACAAGATGGTTCTAAGGCCTACATGTTGTGATAACATTGGAGTGCCTGATAGAGTGTCTTTTCAGGAATTTCCAAGTAGGTGCAGCTTCTGTAGCAGATCTCAGTGGCTTCTGACTGCCTAAGTTAGCCCTTGATCTCAACAATCCAGTTCAGTTCTGGTTAGCCAAGCTGCCAAGATCCACAGCATCTCAAACAGACTAACTTACCTCATGCTAGCAAATAAGTGACAAATTGGACAGTGGCCAGGGAAAATAAAGCCCAATTCTCACCTCCAACTAGAGGGAAGGGAAATTAAACCAGGAGTCTTTGAAAAATATCCTGTATTTGGTAACTCAAAGTAAGTAGCTCAGGAGAAGCCCTAGGCCCAAGAAATAGCAGGATCAGGAAATTCCAAGAAATCCAGAGTCCATTTCTTGGTGGGGGAGCATCTGACCCACCTGCTGTGAGTCTGCCGCTGTGCCAGCCTGGAGACCTTTCACCGTCTTCTCAAGTTCAGCCATCATCACACGGAAGAAAATGACAAAGGTGTGCCTAAAAGAGGGACAAGTACACACAATCCTACAACGATGCACTGCTTAGGAAGAACTTCCCAAGAAGTCAGGAACCACAATAATTCCTCCCCCAACCCTCTGAATGTTCTTTCACTAGGGTCCACTGAAAAGAGAATAGGAAAGTGGAAAGGCTTCAGAAATGGGTCCAAGTAGATAGACCTACAAAACAATGGGTCTGAGCTAGCTTCATGGAAGGAGATGATAGAGCGGTATGGAAAGAGCAGTGAAGCAGTAGGGAAAAGACCCAAGTTTAATCCTGCTTCCACATTCATTTTATTGCTTACATAAGCTGGAGAGGTTCCCTCTCTTACCCTCACTTTTCTCAACAGTAAAATGGAGGTAATGATACCTACCTGATAGAATTATTAAAAAGATCAATCAAATGAGATAAAGAATGTTAAAGTGCTTTATAAACCTGAAAGACTATACAAGTATAACTACTGATAGGAGACACAAACTCATTCAGACATATATGATTATATATGACAATCACCTTYTCAAAGTGGTTAAAATATTAGAATAGCCTGAAGCTTATATTATACACATACACACAAAGACACACTCACACACATATTTTTTATGATGCTCAGCATCAAACCTGGGCCTCATGCATGGTAGGCATGCACTACCACTAAGCTACCATCTCCAGTCCTAGTTTCAAGTTTAAAGGATGAAAGTATAGATAGGAGAAGTTCATCTCCTTTCAAACTGTAACTTCTGACAATTTATTCCACAATAAGGCCCACTCACATAGTTTGACTGAGAGCTCCTGGAAGGAATGCATAGACTAACTAAAGATGGTACCTACCAAATGTATCAAAATTAGAGGGGTGGGCAGGGGTTGTAGCTCAGTGGTAGAGCACTCACCTCGCCTGTGCAAGACCCTGGGTTCAATCCTCAGCACCACATAAAAATAAATAAGTGAAATAAAGGTATTGTGTCCAACTACAACTAAAAAATAAATATTTTTTTTTAAAAATTAGAGGAGTAAGGTGGTTATTTGGAAACTATATACACTAAACAATGTAAACATATCCGAAAAAGAGAACTGGAGGCAAGAATTCCTTTACCTTGTCAGTGTAGGGAATGTAGAGGAAGATGCATCTTTTGGAGAGTTGATCAATTCTGGGACACCAATGCCAGCGATCTCCTCTATGGCCTTCAGAACATTGTCTGTGTGCTCCAGGTAGATGCTGCATGGAGAGTTGGAGGAGTATGAACACGTTACTGAACTTCTAAGTAGTTCAGATTTCTTTCTTGAGATGTTACCAAACATCAAGCTTCCCCCAGCCCCAGCAATACTGAGGATTAAACCCAGGGTCTGATGCATGCTAGCAAGAACTTAACCACTGAGCCACATTCCCAGACCTTTTCGTTTTTTGAGACTGGGTCTTGGTAAGTTGCCCAGGTTGTCCTTGAACTTGCCTCAGCCTCCCCATAGTTGGCTTACAGGCATACATCACCAAGCCTGGCTGGTATTAAGCTTTAAAACAATTTCAGGAGCTGGAGATATAGCTCAGTTGGTAGAATGCTTACCCTGCATGCACAAGGACCTGGGTTTGATCCCCAGCACACCATAAAAACAATTTCAGGCTTTTATTTTTATTTTCTTAAGTTAAAGATGGACTCAATACCTTTAGTTTGTTTGCTTATTTTTTCATGTGGTGCTGAGAATCGAACCCAGTGCCTCATGCGTGCTAGGTAAGCGCTATACCACTGAGCCCCAGCCTGAGCCCGAGCCCCAGCCCCAGCCCCGGGCTTTTATTTTTAATAACAAAGATTCCAGATACTTGTCCAAAGGCAAAGTAAATGAGACCCAATTAGAAACAGACACCTTGGAAGTGGTTAATACATCTTGAATATGGTAGACAATAGATGTATTTGGCTGATTAATAAGGTAGGATACAACTGYAGACTCCTCCACTTCCTCTATATTTTAACAGTTTTAACTAATAGGAAGGTAGAAGCAGAGGATTTTAAGATCCAGATTCCAAATTCTGTTTAGTTTAAACCTACTTCATTGCTCTCAAGTCTCCCCTAACCAGATGAGAAATCCCATCAGTAGCAAAATGGAAAAGGGGTATTTGGCTTATGGAAGAAACCAAACATCTCACCAAAGCATATCATGCAGCTGCTCATTAAAGGTGCTGTTCTTCTCTTTTTCCCCATGTGACCATGCCCGACAGAGGCACTGTCTAGCCAGGGAAGCTTTTAGAAAACAAGACAGAGAGTTCTCATTAGCAGGAAAATGACCTCTTTTTAAAAAATATATATTTAAAGTTTTTATTTTGACACATAATAATTGTATACATTTGTGGGGTATAGTGACATTTCAATATATGTATATAATGTATAATGATCAGATAACCTCACTTGTCTTCCAGGCTTTTGGGATGATCATTGTTCAAAGGGATTATTATTCTAAATTTACTAAGTTGTTCCTGTCTTACCAAAAAATTTTTAGAAGGCTGCTATGAACATAAACCAATAGAGCCACACAAGGATACCGCTGGGCAGTGGGAAAGTCAAACGTGCTCCTGGTGGGCAGGTCAGTGGCCCTTCCCAAAGCACCGTTTCACATTTTCATGCTGCTGTTTGTGCTATTAACTAGGATGTATAATCAGTGAGATGTATTCCAAGAATTATGATATAATACAGTTAAAGAAAAGTCAAGGAAGAGGCTAATACTTCCTCCACACCTGATCCTGATTTCATCTTTTTCTCCCTTTTTTTAAAGATTTTTTATTCTATTTTGTCATATATGACAGAAGAATGCATTACAATTTATATTATACATATAGAGCACAGTTTTTCATCTCTGATTGTATACAAAGTATATTCACACCATTCGTAATTCCATACATGTATTTAGGGTAATAATGTCCACCTCATTCTTTTTTATCCCCTTGCTTCCTCCCTTGCCCTCCTTCCCCTTTGCCCTATCTAGAGTTTGTCTAATCTTCCCATGTTTTTCTCCCACTTTATTAACCTCATGGTTTATGTCTTTTTRTCAAATGTGTCAGATAATTTAAAAATTTTTTTTAGTTGAAAATGGACATAATACCTTTATTTGTTTTTATGCAGTGCTAAGGATTGAACACAGTACCTCACACATGCTAGGCAAGCGCTCCACCACTGAGCTAAATCTCAGTCCCCAATTATTTTTTCTTTTTTAAAGGATATGATTAAAACTTGAGCCAAACAGAAAATTATCCAGGGCTGGGAATGCAGCTCAGTGTTAAGAGTTTGTGTGTGGACAGCATGTGCTAGGGCTCTGGGTTCCAATCCTCAGTACCAAAAAAAGAAAAAAAAAATCCTCTAGACAGCTGACCAATGTCACACTAAGCAATGTCAGCAGAAGTCAATCAGAGATCCTTAGGGGAAAAAAAAAGCCTCTTTGGTGTCAAAGAGGGCATATCCAAGACTTTGTGGGGATTTACATGCAAAAATGTACAAGGTTCTGGGAAGCCCCAAATTTAGAGTTAGACATGAATTCTATTCTTGAAAAAGAGGAATTGGGCCCATCACCAATTTTTTCTTTCTTTGGAGCAGGAGCTGTAGATTTTTCCAACAAGACCATCAAAAGTCTGATAAGGTAAAGACCACACTGGAAACTAGGAATGCTGGGATGAAAATTCTGCAAGTAATTGAAGCTCTGACTGTAAGGAGACAAGAAACAAAACAACAAAACACAACAGCATCACATGTATTAAAGACATATTAAAATCCATAGGAGTTGCCCAACTTCTCTGTAAATGAGAGCCAAATCAGAATCCTCATTTTCAGGTGCTTTAGGACCAAGTTTCAAGCATCTTGACAGAAAACTCTGTGTATGTAGAAATTGAGGGTAAAAGAGCACCCCAGGAATGGAATGCTGGCCTCAAAAGGGTCATGTATGTCAAAAATGCAATTTGTGCAACTCCTGATAAATTAGTTGCCCTTCAAAGACTTATGAAACACTGAAAATCATGTTTAAAATCCAAGTTTGGCAATGTATGGTGGCACACACCTGTAATCCCAGAGGCTCAGGAATCTGAGGCAGGAGGTTTACAAATTCAAAGCCAGAGTAACTTAATGAGACTTTGTCTCAAAATAAAAAATAAAAAGGGCTGGAGATGTGGTATCCAACAGAGACAATGTGGAAGGAAATTATAATACAATGCAGAGAAAGCATAGTTTATTTGTTTTGTTTTCCCCAGTAGTGGAGATCAAATGCAGGGCCTCACATTTGCTAGGCAAATACTCTACCACTTAGTTACATTCCCAGCACCCCACCTCCTTAATATTTTTAGCTGTCAATGAATATTTATTATTATTTTTTTAAAATGGGGCTGAGAATTGAACCCAGTGCCTCACACATGCTAGGCAAATGTTCCACTACTGAGCTACAGTCCCCAAGCCCTTTTTCAAATTTTATTTTGAGAGTATCTTACTAAGTTGCCTGGCTGAAAACACAGCTTTTAATGAATGCATCATACACAGTCTAGTTTCAATGCAATAAAATAATGGGAGATAGGGAATGAAAATCAGTCTAGAACTGTTAAATTGTTGTTAAAATGATACCAGAGTCAATTCCTGATTGTTTGGTGAGAAAGAGGTCAAATTAAAAATTTTCTCTTTCTCTCTGCACACCCCCCCCTTCCTCCCTTTCATTTTTCAGAGCTGAGGATAGAATCCAGGGCCTTAAGYAGAGTAGGCAAATACTCAACCACTGAGCTACACCCCTAAAAGTAGTCAATTTAAAATAAGGTCCTGCCCTACAGGCAGGAAGACAAGTACTGACTGCTGACATAGTGATGGCCTAGGCTATCAAGGAGGAGACGGAAAGACCAAGTCACTCTGGCTGATGCTGGATAGGAGGCTGACAGCCTGTCCTTTAAATTATATTCTCACCTCCCTCCTCCATAGCCTTGCCCTCAGTCACATATGGTCTTCCTCTAAGGATGGAGAAAGGAGACTGGCCATTAGTGATAACTAGCTGCTATCTACATAACCAACCCTGGTAGGAGACAGAGGAAGTCCTTGGACACTCAAGACTTGAATGCAGATGCTTAATGTTTTCATGATCATTACCTGAAAAGGCACATTCAAGGGCTGATGTATGCATGAAGATTTAGCATGGTATAACTAATGTTGCACAATTTATCCAAATACGTAAGTGAGAAAGCTCATATGCTGAGGAAAAGTGTTGAAAATATCAATTTCCTTCCCAACTACTGAGAGTCCTAAAATTTTTCAAGGACTTTTTTTTTTTTTTTGGGGGTGCTGGGGATTGAACCCAGGGCCTTGTGCGTGTGAGGCAAGCATTCCACCAACTGAGCTATATTCCCAGCCCCTTTTCAAGGAAATTGACAATCCAGCTCCTGAAAGTCTCTTGGGAAAACACTCTAGGACATGCATCTGACCCACCTGACCAATTCCTCCAATGACTGCTCATGTTCTATTTGCTTCAGTCGGCTAGCGAGGACCTCAAGGGCTGAATACAGTAAATTATGATATCCAAGGTTAAAAAATCCATTCCTAAAGGAAAGACAAGGTAAGGTGGGTTAGCTGGGCTTCAGGAAGATTACCTGGATAGTATTTCAGGATCCTCAGCTCCAGTCTGCATCATCCTCAATTGACAAATCCAATCTCAACTCTAAGAATCAGATATAAAATTGAGGTACATCCAGAATAATCCAGCCTTAAGGACCTAACAGTCCTCTCACAGGCTTGTTCTCTTTTTTTCTTCTTTTTTGTATTAGGGATGGAACCCAGAGGTAATTGTACCACTGAGCTACATCCCCAGTCTTTTGTTGTTCTTAGTATCTTTATTTTGTTTAATTATTTTTATGTGGTATTGAGGATCAAACTCAATGCCTCACATGTGCAAGGCAAGCGCTCTGTCACTGAGCCACAACCCCAGCCCTTGTTCTTTTAAGGCAGGATCTAAGTTGGTTAGGGCCTTGATAAATTGCTGAGACTGGCCTCAAACTTAAATCTCCTGCCTCAGCTTTCCAAACCACTGGGATTATAGGCATGCACCACCAAGCCTGGTTCAAGGCTTATTATCAAGGGGGCAGGGAACTCTTCTCCTTCCTTATATTTTAGAGGTAAGCCTCAGTCTTTTGTCAAATTGCTAAATTAATGTCCAGTCCCCAGTAGGTGGTCAATAAAGTACTTAACCCTTTCTCTACATTAATAAATTGTCTTAACAATTTTATCTTGGATTTTCTAATTGTCCCTTTTTCCCCCAAGTCCAGACTATCATTCCAGGGCAGGTCCCTGTCATTACATGCACAGATCATGACAACATCTGCTGTGTTTTTGGTTTTTTTTTTTTTTTTTTAGTATTTTTGGGCTGTCAATGGACCTTTATTTATTTATATGTGGTGCTGAGTATCGAACCCAGAATCTCACACATGCTAGACAAGTGCTCTACCACTGAGCCACAACCCCAGCCCCACCTGCTGATCTTTTTGCATCCTTTCCCACTGTCTTGTACAATGTTGCCAAAAAGATTTTCTTAAAATGCTTTCATTATATTATGGCTATGATCACAGAACTCCAAACTGTTTCCCTGCACTTTTAAATTCTGCAAGACCTTCAAGGCTCAGTACAATGTGACCCCTAGATCTTCTCCTATAGAAACATTCTCCACATCACCAGTGCTATTTGCCCTTCCTTCAACAAATGTACTCTGAGGGCTATGTGTCAGGTTTTCTCCCCACCATTTTGAGGTATAACTGATGAATAATAAATTATATATATTTAAAATGCTGAATTTGATCAGATTTGATTTATAAACTCATGAGACCACCAGAGTGAAGATACTGAATATACCCATCATCCCCCTAAGATTTCTTACACTCCTTTGTAATCCATTCCTCTTTCGAACTTCCTGCCCAATGCTATGCAACAACTGATACTTTTCCATCATTATAAAATATGCTTTTTCTAGAATTTTATATAAAGGGAATCAAATACTGTGATTCCTTATATTCTTGCTTTTTATTTAGCATAGGTATTTATCATGTTGCTGCATGTAGCATTCCCCCATATATATATATATATATATATATATATATATATATATATATCATGATTTATTTATACATTCACCAACTGATCAACATTTGGGTTATTTCTACTTTGTAACTATTACGAATAATACTACTATAAACATTCATGCATAAGACTTTGTGTGAACATGTGTTTTCATTTTTTGGGGGGTAAATACAATAGGGATAGAACAACTGGGTCATATGGTAGGTATTTGTTTAACTTTTCAAGAAACTTTCAAAACTGTTTTCCAAAGTAAGACCAGCAACAAGTGAGCATTATCAGCTGATCCACATTTTCACCAACACATGGCATAAAATCTTTTTTCATTTTGCTATGCTAGTGTGTTGTACTATCTCACTATGCTTTTCTATGGTGCTGGGGATTGAGCCCAATGCCTCACCAGTAAACACTAAACCAGTGCTCTTCCTCTGAGCTGCACCCCAAGTTGCTTTTAATTTGAATTTCCTTAATAACTAAAAATAACAAACATCCTTTCATTTATCATCTGTCATAAATAAATCTCCTTGATGATATATACAAATATGTTGTCAGGGAATACTTTTAAGTATAGAGAATACAAAAATGACTGATATCTGCCTTCATGGAGCTCAAAGTATAGCAGGGAAGACAGGTGAACAAGTAATTATAAAAAATGTGATGTTTTGGGGCTTGAATTGTGGCTCAGTAGAACACTTGCCTAGCATGTGTGAAGTCCTGGGTTTGATTCTCAGCACTACAAACAAAAATAAAGGTTCATTAAGAACTAAAAAACTATTTAAAAAAAAAAAAAGAATTGCCATTTTTTGAAAAATGTGATGTTTTATCATAAGAGGATACAAAAGTGGTAGGAGGAAAGTGGGACTAGATGGGCATAAAAAAGGTTTACCTAGTCTAAGGGGTAAAGAAAATGTCACTGAAGAAGTGAAGTTAGCTCTCAGGAGATTAGATGTGTCAGAAAAGAGTAAGGATCAAGAAGTGTGGGGATCCTGGCAGAGGATGAGTATGTGTAAAGCCTTTTAGGTGAAAGCCATGTAGGGTGCTGAATTAGTTCTAATTCAATATGACTACAGGCAGAAGAAAAGACAACAGGTGGGCTGGGGATGTGGCTCAAGCGGTAGCACGCTCGTCTGGAATGCGTGCGTCCCGGGTTCGATCCTCAGCACCATATACCAACAAAGATGTTGTGTCCGCCGAGAACTAAAAAATAAAATATTTAAAAAAAAAAAAAAAAAGAAAGAAAAGACAACAGGTGGGGCAGGAGGCGGCAGGAGAAAGCCTGAGAAACTAGGCAAAAGAGTTTGAAAAATCTAACAGCAATCAGAGACCAGAACGAGGACAAGATCAGATTAGGTCTGTGTTGGGAAGATCATTGTGACTCGTATGTGAGGAATGGACCCAGGCAAGACAAACAGTGGCAAAGAAACCAATCTAGTACAAGTGGGAGATGATGGGAGTCTAGCAGCAGTGGAGAGAGGACAGATGGTTTAGAATGTTATCCAGAGATGAAGTCAACAGAATTTGGAGATCACATGTGGGAGAGAGAAAGGTTAGAAAGTAGAGGAAGGGACAAAAAATAACTCCTAATTTGGAGCTCAGACAACTAGTGGTACCATTGACAGAGCCAGAGAAAGCTGGAGGAACAGTGATGACACATTCTGCTTGGGATGTGATGAGTCTGAGGTTTTACTGACACATCTTAAGGGGGTGTTGAGTAGGCAATTGAATATAAATGCCTAGAGCTCAAAGGATAAAATTTGGCATAACTTTAAGCTTCGGTAAGACTACCCAGAAAACCTGTGTAGAAAAGAGAGAGGGGACAGGACCTAGCTCTGAGGAATCAAATTTATGGGACAGACATCCTTTTTTTCTATGTTTACCCATGCTGTGCCTTTCAATTCTTTTGTTAACCTTCCCAAAGGCCACCTACCCTTTAAAGGCCTGATTACCTGCTTCCACGGTATCCAAAAATATCCTAGCTCACACTGTGTTCAGTTCTTTACCACAAAATCTGTGATTTATTTACAACTTTTTGATAAACAATTTTTTTAAAGAATTTCTTTTGTTAGTTTATTTTTTTAATGTGGTATAGAAAATCGAACCCAGAGCCTCCCACATGCTAGGTGAGCACTCTACCACAATTTTTTAAGTAACAGTCTTCCAAGTTATTATAGAACATTTTCGACAGGAAACAAAAGAAATAATATGGCCAGATTTGTCATCATTAGCTAATCAGCAAGTCATTCAATTTGTCAAATAGGTTAATGATAATGGCCCCATAAGACCCAGAGGATGCTAGAGCAAATGAAAAAGACTAAATCACCATTGTTACCTAAAGTCTGGGGCCTATCCATTTACATCCCAGCACCTAATCATCAAGTAAAATTAAGTACTTTTTCATTCATTTCTGTCTATAATCATACTTCCCATACACTCACCAAGCAAAAATTCCATGAAAAATCTGCAGTAGCCTCTGATAACAGGAAGCCATTATGTGGTGCTCTTGAGGCTTCACTCCTGGTCCATCAACTTCACCATGATTCTCGGCAACTAAGCTCTAAAAAGAAAAACGAATTGTCCTAATTTCCCTTCAATTTTTCTTTGAAAAGGAAATCTCCAGTTCACTGGGTGATTTTTAAGTCTCTATAAGGATAAGATAGTCTTCTGACCTGGAAATAGTTGTGAATATTCTCCAGATGGTTACACATCGGGGTCAGCAGTTGAACAACACAATGAACAACTTCTGGGGCAGACTTCAGATGGAGATGTGAGAATCCAATATTCCGGTTTCCTTTATTCTACAATAAATTCAGAGTTATAAGAGAAGAAACTGTTAGACATCTTTTCTGAATCTACATGTTCCTCATGGACTTTAGTCAAACTTATGTCATTAAGTAGGACTGGGTGGGAGAAATGAGTTATTTGTCTAAGACTATATTCAGCAAAGGGATAAAAATCTTGCTCCATTTCCGAATGACTAAGAGATTAACCTTTCTAGAGGAAGAATGGTGTCTGATTAAGAAGTACAGACCCATCATAACTAAAGACATAAAACTCACACAAAAGTAGAAATGAAATCACTGTGCTCACTTGGGCAGTACATATACTAAAACTGGAACAATACAGAGATTAGCATGGCCCCTGCACAAGGATAACACACAAATTTGTGAAGTGTTCTATTAAAAAAATCACTTAGGTAGATAGGAATTTAGAACAAATAGTACAAAGAATCAAGTAACTATCTGTATCAATGTGTAAGTGCTGATACCCAAGACCTTCACATTGTACTGTTTGTACCATCAATTGCTTCCCCCAGCAGGTCCACATTTGTACCTTATGTACACACCTGAGGTTCTGGCCTCTCTAGGCAGCTGATTATGATACTGAGGCTTAGTTTAGGAGGCTGTTAAAACCAAAAACTAAGGGCAGGAGGTGTAGTTCAGTGGTAGAGCCCTTGCCTGGTCATTTGTGAGTCCCCAGGTTCAGCCACCAGCACCACAAACCAAAACAAAAAAACCCAAAACCTGTGCATAGATGAGAATTCAGGAATGTTCAGGGAATTTAGAAATAAGTGTCTTATTATGGGTATCTTTTGTGTTTTCTGGGTTTCCATTTCTTTTCCTTTTTTTTTTGTAGTGCTATCAGACCTGGTGCCTCATGTGTGTTAGGCTAGTCCCAGAATCCTTCAATTCAAGGTGAATATGATCTGGCAATAGGGCTGCCACCATCTTACCCAGTGACCCAAACACAATGCAAAAGAAAGTGATAATTATTCACCACCACACGCTTTGTTTCCAAATCCACTGAACCCAGGTTCTAAACTTGTACTTACACTAACCTTGAGAAAGGGGTTTCTCTTAGTAAAGGATGGTGTCAGCATATTATCTAACTTGTGAGAGAGATCTTCTAGCAAGAAAAGTAACTCAGGAGGCCCAAGCTGTACAACTTCTGTAGCCTGTGACATAGAAGAAAGATGGAATAATTCCAGATATGTCCTAGTCATTTTATTTTTGATACATTTCATAAACACTCCTCCCAACAGGTGAAGAATTAAATTTCTTTTTTTTAAAATTTTTTTTAAATTGGTTGTTCACAACATTACAAAGCTCTTGACATATCATATTTCATACATTAGATTGAAGTGGGTTATGAACTCCCAGTTTTACCCCAAATGCAGATTGCAGAATCACGTCGGTTACACATCCACAATTTTACATAATGCCCAATTAGTAATTGTTGTAGTCTGCTACCTTTCCTATCCCCTACTATCCCCCCTCCCGTCCCCTCCCATCTTCTCTCTCTACCCCATCTACTGTAATTCATTTCTCTCCTTGTTTATTTTCCCATTCCCCTCACAACCTCTTATATGTAATTTTGTATAGCAATGAGGGTCTCCCTTCATTTCCATGCAATTTCCCTTTTCTCTCCCTTTCCCTCCCATCTCATGTCTCTGTTTAATGTTAATCTTTTCTTCCTGCTCTTCCTCCCTTCTGTTCATAGTTGCTCTCATTATATCAAAGAAGACATTTGGTATTTGTTTTTTAGGGATTGACTAGCTTCACTAAGCATAATCTGYTCTAGTGCCATCCATTTCCCTGCAAATTCTATGATTTTGTCATTTTTTATTGCTGCATAGTACTCCATTGTGTATAGATGCCACATTTTTTTAATCCATTCATCTATTGAAGGGCATGAAGAATTGAATTTCTAATTAAAAAAAAGAAAAAAATTTCCCTATCTCGTATAAAGAATGGCTGTTGTGTTCTATTAACTTATCAAAAAGTCAAGCATTTCCAAAATAAAACAAATTCTCAAGTTATTAAAGTAGGAATTTGAGACACAGTATACATTAGAAGTCATAATTTTTCTCTAGAAATAAATTCCTTTGTGTATTTTTCCACCTGTGTAACCAAGATGTATCTCTTAAATATACTATGATAAAAATATGACTTAACTCAAGGCAATGCACCTAATATACTTCTTTTCCTAATATTTTACTATTATAAACTACAGGTGAAAAGTATATTACATTGCCATAGGTGAAAAGGGTGAAATAGTCTCACATTCAACTATTCACTTAACACACATTTATGGAGAATCTCCATTGGGAAACTAATGTAGCAAGAAATGAAAAAAAAATACAAATCATATTCTGAAGGTGCCTATATTCTTACAAGTATCAGGTAAAAAAAAAATCTGTTATTATAAAACCATTCTCTAATCAGAGTTTTGTACACACTTAGTTCAGACCATTAATATATTATAGGCCACGAATACAACAGGTACTGCTAGTTATCTCTACTTTCTCTATTAGATTATAACCTATCTGAAAGCATACATCATGCTAAAAGTACTAGTTTACTCCCACTGTCTACATTAGTGGACATTCAACATCCTAAAAAAGTAAACATAGCTTTGACCTCTCTAAACCAGAACAGTGCTCTTCTACAAAAGTGAACTAAGTAGTTTATTACCCTAAAGTCAAGAATAACATCATCAGCACAATATTTTATTATAGTCTATAACACCATAGAAGACGAGCACAAATACGCATTGTTATTCTCACATATAAAGGCATTTGAAGTCATCATTCTTTTTCCTTTTTTTCAGTGGTGGGAATTGAACTCAGGGCCTTGCCCACAGCCCTCTAAAAATTTCAATGTCACAGTGTTCTTTTTGAAATAAAAATAGAGCTAGGAATTTTGTGAAAGATGATTAATTTCTAAGATCCCAGTATGTCACTTACTTCTGTGTTCATTTCAGTATCTAAGATGAATTTGGTCACAAGTCCACAATGCAGAATAGAGAAGACCTCAATGTCCACCTCTCGAAAAAATGCACTGTAATTCTGTAGTGACACTGATGTTTTTCCTTCCTTCCCTGTGAGCTCCTGGGAAAAAAGTATCAGCAACCAAGAGAATAAAAAAAAGGTCTTCTGTATTAATCTAACTTTTTTTTTTTTTGGCAATACTGGGGAACCATTGATACTATCTACCAACACACTACACATTCCTAGCCCCGTATCAATCTAATTTTTTTTTTTTAAAGAGAGAGTGAGAGAGGAGAGAGAGAGAGAGAGAGAGAGAGAGAGAGAGAGAGAATTTTTTTTAATATTTATTTTTTAGTTCTCGGCGGACACAACATCTTTGTTGGTATGTGGTGCTGAGGATCGAACCCGGGCCGCACACATGCCAGGCGAGCGCGCTACCGCTGAGCCACATCTCCAGCCCTCAATCTAATTTTTAAAGAAGATTCCAAAGTGCAAATACACATTAATTTTATGCAAAAATTTACATTTCCATTACATCATCACCTTCTTTTCACAAAAATCCCTAAATATTCTAAGGCAGAGCCCTTAATTTCATGTGGAAATATGTCAACACCAAGACTCTTGGTTGGCTTCTGCTTAGGGATAAAATATTAAGCAGATCATGACATTATAATTTGGTAAAGAAAAATATGAGCTTAGGGCTAAGAAGATGATCTGGCTTCAACTCCTAGCTCAAGCACTTACTGTGTGACCTTGGGCAGGTTATTCATCCTCCTTGGGTCTTAGTTRCCACATGTATTAAATATAGACATTAATACCAACCATAGGAAGATTATTGGAATCATACATAATAAATTACATTAAAAAGTGGTAGCTGAAAAACAGAAATAATTGGGTTCCACATGGTTCAGGCAATTTTTTTTTTTTTAAGAGAGAGTGAGAGAGGAGAGAGAGAGAGAGAGAGAGAGAGAGAGAGAGAGAGAAGAGAGAGAGAGAATTTTTTAATATTTATTTTTTAGTTCTCGGTGGACACAACATCTTTGTTGGTATGTGGTGCTGAGGATCGAACCCGGGCCGCACGCATGCCAGGCGAGCGCGCTACCGCTTGAGCCACATCCCCAGCCCCTGGTTCAGGCAATTCAACAAATACATGAAAACCATTCCATGAATAGTACAAAGTTCTGGTACCAATCTATTACCAGAAACTATACAAAGCATTTCAAGTTATCTCAATTCATTGAGAAATTGATAACCTGGGGTCAGAATGAGAAAGAACTTAAGAAATATAATTTTAAAAGACTGACAACTTGATAATTGCTGAGAGAGAATTCAAGTATCACTGGGGTACAGAACAAGGGAATAAAACATGCAAGAAAATAATTAGGAAAAACAACTAAGTGTGTGGGAGGCAAGAGGATTTAGGAGTATAATTTGAATTTTGTTATTCAGAGGGTCCTCCAAGGGCTGGGAGAATAAAGCCGGCTCTCTAACGATCTTACTGGGCTGCTGCACACCTTTGTCACACACCCACCACTCCAATACCTTCTCTAGCTGGCTTCTACCAGTTGGCACAGCATCACATTCTGAATTATCCTCTTTTGAAAGTGTGTCAGGGGAGGGTGCTTTGCTGCCATCTGCTTTTCGTTTCCTTCCTCCTTGTGTTTCAAAGAGAAAAAGAAACTCAAGAATCAAAACACATGCTTTGCCAAATATTTCTGCTCTCAAGAAATAACTTTTGAACACTACCTACAGGTAAAAGAAGTAATTTTATGACCAAATTATAGTACATTTATAAGTCTACTAACAAAGAGATTTAATTACATCATCTTTCCAATTACTGATGCCTCAAYATATAACCTCTTGGGTTAATTCAATATGGCTCAGGTAGCGGTAAGACAAAAGAATATACTCACCTATCTTTCCTGTTTTTCTGTTTTTTCCTGAAGCAGCAGAATTGCTATGAGGTATTACATCTAAAGTTTCCAAGTCAAAGTTTGCAAGAGGAGGAACATAGTCCGGGGTGACTGAAATAGAGCAGGCAGAAGCCCAATGTATACCAACCATATATCACCATCCGACATGGGATGCAACCACCCACTTGGCTAAAAACCAATTTCTAAAATTACCAATTGGGGCTGGGGATGTGGCTCAAGCGGTACCGCGCTCGCCTTGCATGCGTGCGGCCCGGGTTCGATCCTCAGCACCACATACAAACAAAGATATTGTGTTCGCCGAAAACTAAAAAAATAAATATTAAAAATTCTCTCTCTTTCTCTCTCCCCACTCTCTAAAAAAAAAATCATTTAAAAAAAATAATAAAATTACCAATTATAGCAGTGAATTTTTGTAAGACACATTCAAGTCAACTGATATTATTTTCATAAGCAAATGGCCAGAGAACTTACAGGAAAATTATATTACCATGATTCATAATGATCAATTAACATAAAACCATTCTAAATGATGATATAAAATAACCAAACAGATAAGGACTAAAAATAAACAGACTAACATTTAAAACCTAACAATATTAATAACATTTGATCACACAGCAGTTTGCTTTATACCCTTTTATTTTAGATGAAATTTAAGGGAGGCTTCATATTTTCTTCAGAGAAATCAAGCTAGCACTTCAAAACAACCAGTTTATTTAATAATCAAAAGGTATGAAGAGGTCTTTATATATACATAAATTTATTTATTGTGTGTGTGTGGGAGGGGTACTGATGAGGACTGAACCCAGGAATGTTCTGCTAATACACCCCTAGTCCTTTTTATTTTTGAGACAGGGGCTCATTAAGTTGCCCAGGCTACCCTGAGCCTATGAAGTAGCTGAGTTTACAGTCATGCTATCACACCCAGCAAGGTCTTAATCCTTACTCCTGGTTCATGACTATGTGTTTTTGTTTGTTTGTTTGTTTTTTGTTTTTTAAGAGAGAGAGAGAGAGAGAGAGAGAGAGAAGAGAGAGAGAGAGAGAATTTTTTAATATTTATTTTTTAGTTTTCGGCGGACACAACATTTTTGTATGTGGTGCTGAGGATCGAACCCGGGCCGCATGCATGCCAGGTGCGTGCACTACTGTTTGAGCCACATCCCCAGCCCTCATGACTATGTTTAAGAAGGCAAAGGGTCACTGGAAGTTTAACATCCAAAACAGCAAAGTAGCTTGGTACAGTGGTACATGCCTATCTATACTCCCAGCTACTCAGATGCTGACGCTGAAGGATCACAAGCTTGAGGCCAGCCTAGGCAGCTTAGCAAGACTAACATAATAAAGTAAATTAAAACTTTAAAAAGAGCTGGGGCCAGGCTGGGGCTATGGCTCAGAGGCAGAGCGCTCACCCGCCATGCATGAGGCACTGGGTTCCATCCTTAGCACCACATAAAAATAAAATGAAGATATTGTATCCACCTATAACTAAAAAAAAAAAAGAGAGAGAGAGGGCTGGGGTGTAACTCAGTAGCAGAGTGCCCCTGGGTTTAATTCCAAGCACTGCAAAAATAAATAAATAAATAARTAGGCTTCTTACCTTTTTTTTTTTTTTTTTAATTTTGTTTAGTAGTAGATAGACAAAATACCTTTGTTTTATTTATTTACTTTTATGTGGTGCTAAGGATCAAATCCAGTGCCTCACATGTGCTAGGCAGGCATCCTACCACTGAGCTACAACCCCGGCCCTGGCTTCTTACTCTTGAGAAAGCCCACACTTAGCACTCCTTACTCTCTTAAATAATTTTCTGCTTATACTTGTAAATAAATAAATAAATTTAAAAGTAGCAAAGTAACTTTAAAATAGCCCAACCAATGTTTTTTATAAAATAGTTTTTTGGGCACTACTACAGATTAAACCCAGAGCCTTGCACATGCTAGGCATATAATTTTTTATAGTTTATTTCCTTTTATATTTTATTTCCTTAAGCAATAGAATCTCTCAGAGAAAAACAGAAGTACTCATCAAAAATTTTGTTCAGGGCTGGGGCTATAGCTCAGTGGTAGAGTACCCACCTCACACGTGTGACGCACTGGCTTTGATCCTCAGCCCCACATAAAAATAAATAAAGATATTGTATCCAACTACAACTAAAAAATAAAAATAAAAATTTGTTGAGCACACATCCTCTTTGATCTAGAGGTATAGGAAACTGCTGTCACTGAGCCAGGCTCAACAGCTTAGTTCCTTATTTCCTTGCCACTGACCTTACTAGGGCTACCAATATAGGACTTCCTTACCTGCTAAGTACTTTTCCAGAATTTCCTGCAGTTCTACAATGTTCTTTAATCGAGAGAGCACCTTCCCCTTCATCTCAGGTGATGTCTGTCTGCAGAAGGCATTTACAACCTGCAAAATGCAAACTACATTTTCATACTTTGAACTTTTTAGATTTTAATCTTATTTGCATTATTTCCCAGATCGGAAAGATGTCACTAAGCAGCATATCTGTGAATTTAGTCTGTGCTACAGTTTGGATCATGAATATCCCCCAAAGGCTAATGTGGTAGTCAGTCACAGTGGCTCATGACTGTAATACCAGCGAATTGGGAGGTTGAGGCAGGAGAATCACAAGTTGGAAACCAGCCTGGGCAGCTTGGCAAGATCCTAAATAAAAAATGGGTCTGTAGGGCTGGGATTGTGGCTCAGCATTAGAGCACTTGTCTAGCGTGTGCGAGGCACTGGGTTCGATCCTGAGCACCACATAAAAATAAATAAATGTCAAACTGCAACTTAAAAAAAAGAAGAAAAAAGTTTCTTTAAAGAAAAAAATAGGCCTGCAGATTTGACTCAGTGGTAAAATGCTTCCCTAGTACATGCAAGGCCCTAGGTTCAATCCTCAGCACTACAAAAAAAAAAAAAAAAAAAAAAAAGAAAGAAAGGGGAAAAAAATAGCTCACGTTTCCCCAAGTATGGTGCTATTGGGAGGGGTAGAGCCTTTTAGAGGTGGGGCTTCAGGGAAGGTTCTGTGGACATCAGAGGGTGTGCCTTTGAAGGGACTTATGGGACCCCCATTTCTTCATCTTTTGCTTCTTAGCTATGGGGGGTCCACTACATGCTCCTCATCATAATGTGCTGCACTATCACATGCTCAAAGCAGTGCTGCAACTGAATGGACTGGAATCTCAAAAACTATGAATTAAAATAAACCCTTTCTCAAAGTTAATCCTCTCAAGTATTTTGTTAATAGTGATGGAAAGCTGATTAACAAAGTCAATAATGTAACTATTCTCAACAAAGTGTTATGGAGGAAAATATATCCCTAGGCTAAAATACAAGAAAGATGACTTTTAATCCTAGTTATACTTTATATTACTTTACAAAAAAAAAAAAGTAGAATAGCTGGAGAACACAAATTCTATTGATACAAGTCTTACTCTGCTACTTACTAGCTGTGACCTTGGCTCAATCTAACTTTTCTGAGATTTTATTTCTTCAACCATAAAATACAAATATAGTTGTTGTATGAATTAAATAACATAAAGAAATCATCTCAGCACTTAAACATTTTAATGACTGTGAACTCTGTACATGAAACCCTATGTGTAAAACGAGGTCAAACACCTCTCCTGCCCATATCAAAATAAAACTGTGACAATCAAATTTAAGTTCATTCAAGCGCGCAAAYATTCTCTGAAATAAAATGCAAGGGAAAGTCAGTGAGAGGGTAGTAAAGATGTTGCCACTGCTGTCAAACACAAACATGTTCTGAAGGAAGGGAAACTACCAGCACTCATCTCACTTATTCCAAACAACAGCACATGCCTATGCTAGAATAAGCATCATTTCCACAGTGGAGATGTGAAGAGTTCATTCTCAGCAGAGGAGGCTGGGAGGAGGCAAAGCTGAGCTACATGGGGCTGGGGATGTGGCTCAAGCGGTAGCGCGCTCGCCTGGCATGCGTGCGGCCCGGGTTCGATCCTCAGCACCACATACCAACAAAGATGTTGTGTCCACCGAGAACTAAAAAAATAAATATTAAAAATTCTCTCTCTCTCTCTCTATCCTCTCTCACTCTGTCTTATAAAAAAAAAAAAAAAAGCTGGGCTACATGAGCAAAGTACTTTGATTTAGTGAGTTGAAGAAGTACACAGAGTTGGGGAGTAGTGAGATGTGGGATGTAATAGCTAGAGAGGCACACAGGCATTAGTGCTTGGTGGAGACTTTTCAGGGAGTCTTATGAGAGCCAAGAAAACAGTTTTGTTTTGAAAAAAAAACTATGGACAATARGTGAAATATCCTAGCAACTCTGCTCACCTCTCGGAACCAGTTGAGGGAAAGAAATATTAGTGAACACATGAAGGAACGCTCCTTGAGAGACATGGACTCCAGCTTCTCTCCAGGCTCCAAGTCAGTAAGGAATATAGGACAATCTGAGGGAGAAGAAAAAACATTTCCAACACCTTTAGCTTAAACCAAAAAAACTCTGGTTGTGCCCCTGGATTACTAACTTTTCACCTTATTTCATATTTGAGGGTCAAGCTTTGATTCACCTCAAAAAATACTTCCATACTAGTTTCAAAAAAATACTTGGATATTACACAGCAAACAACAAATATAATTAGGAAGTTTCTATAAGAATTATGGACAGAAATACTAGGAAGTAATATGAAACTACAACAACAATTGATCTGTTAACATATGGGATTCCATTCAGACTATCTTGTCTCTGGAATCCCATCATTATTGCTATACCACTCTATGAAGTTAGAAAATTGCTTTCCACATACACTATGTACTAGTCTGGTCCTTGTCTATGTATACCAAAAGGTCACAAAGAAGAAAGGATCTGAGAGCTTTTTCCTATACCTAAGAGACCATCAATCTCCTCCAGGTTTCCATTATGTTGTCTTGCCACACAAAGTCTCAATAACCGGAAATGGGGAGCCAGGCACAACGGAGACACCAATCTGGGAAAGAAAAATCCATTGCTAGAACACACTCAATAGTCACAGTTATGTTAGTCCAAGCCTATTAGGAGCTCAAGTTTATAATTAAAAAATATGCCCAAAATAAATGTCTACTTTTATAATAAATGGCAAGAAACAAATGGCAACAATGCTCAGCAAACAATCACCTAAATTATAGGAAGGTGAAGAGTATGTGGAATGAGCGTGAAGCAGAACTGAGATCAAGGAAGGTGTGACAGAGACAGAGGTAGCCAAGAATATTCATGAGAGGAAAGAAAGAAATAATGAACATAAGAAAAAATAGCCTCACAGAACATTTGTTGGCTCTCAGAGAGACAATACAAATCTCAACTCTAGGGTCCAAGAAAAAAAAAAAACAAGAACTCTGTTTCAGTCTCTCTATTCCCTCCAAATACCATCTCTTTTGGAATAAAGTCTTTTTTTAAAAATATTTTATTTTTTAGTTATAGATGGGACATAATAACTGTTATTTATTTTTATGTGGTGCTGAGGATCAAACCTGGTAGCACATAAGTGTGAGGCAAGTGCTCCACCACTGAGCTAAAATCCCAGCCCCTTGGAATCAAGTTTTTTGACTCAAGTTTTCCTCAGACGGAAAGAACTATGGGCATTTCCTATAAACATTCAAAATATCAACAGAATTATAGAAAAGAAAACTTGTACTGACTTTTTGCCTGGTTCCTGTGAAGTCATTTGACTTCCCTCTTTTTCAAATTCCTGAGAAAATAGCAGTGGCAGGAGGTTGATGACGATCCCATCACGAGTATCATATTCTTCCAGCCCATAGAGAGCTTTCACAGGAAACGGAAAGTCACTGTGAAGAGAACCCAGAAGTTGATGCTCAAGCTCAGGATTAAGTAAGGTTATAAGAGAAACCACTAGAACAAGCCAATTTCAAACAAAAGTATTATGGAGAAAAGTTAAAAATGGGGAATAGAACAAGTGGGCAATCTTAGCAATTCTGGAGTTGGGGGTGCAGGAGTGTTGGGGGCTTGGAGGAAAGAAACAGAGGGAGTGGGCAGATTTGGCTGAGATCAAGGGTATTCTGAAGTTTGCAACAGTTACTGATTGAACTGAGGCAACTTCTTTACCACTACTACCAAACCAGTACTTACCCTTCTGGAATAACACATAAGTCCACCACAAAGGCATCTTGGAAATCATTAAAGACAGTTGGTCCAATCCATTCCTTCAGGAAAGAAAAAAGAGACAGTAGTTCAGGAGGTACTTGTGATAGAGATGTACTCAACCTAGACAAATGATTGTTAACCTTTCTAAGCCTCTGTTCCTCATTTCTAAAAAGGAGAAAGTAGGAAAGAGAGAATGCATAGAAAGTGCTTAGCTGAGTACTTGGCATAGAATAGGGCTCTCAAACAAATGATGTCTATCAACACCTCCATCAACTCTCCTCCTCCTCCTCCTCTTCATAACTATTATCATGAGAAGGAGGCATCAGAGGAGAGCCCTGAAACAGGCAAGGGTAGAACAGCCTTTCCAACTAAAATGTGGGAGAACTCGCAGGATAATCTATTTTCACACTGTAACAGACAGAACTTGAGGCTCTCATGCTTTACTGATTTAAGAAAAGCCACAGCCTTACCAAGGTTTCTGGAGTTAGTTTCCCTTCTTGGATTAGGTTGGCAAACTCATCATAATAAAGTGCAGAGGCCCGAGGAGACTGCTCACTACAGGAATGAACCAACTGCAGCAAGGAGGTCACCTGGAATGGTGGAAGAGAATGAATGCTTTACCCCTCCCTAAGCTCCATTTGCTCCATTCAATATCAAGCTCCTTCCAACATTAATGGCAAAGCTCTACCTCTCACTTGAGGTTTTCCTGAGCCTCCTGACTAGTCTGTCTCTATCTAGCCACATGCTTTCTCCAATACATAAGACATATGCAGTCTCATTAATTTTTTCTAAAGCAAAAGCTACAATTATTTCAATTCTATGCTAAGAATACTTAAGGATTACCTCTGCTTAAAAAGTAAAATAAAAAATATCTGATATTCATATCCCTATGTTTTCTATCTCTGAACTAGCTTATTTTTTTTATATACCTTTTTATTTATTTGTTTATTTATTTTTATGTGGTGTTGAGGATTGAACCCAATTCCTCACATGGGCTAGGCAAGTCTCTACCACTGAACTATAACCATGGCTCCCTCTGAATTAGATTTAAGCCCAACTTTCCCATTGTACACTTATTATCCCCTATAACTCTTTTTCATTTTTGGCTATGCTGGGGATGGAACCCAGAGCCTTGTGCACACCAGGTAAACGATCTAACACAGAACCACCCTGCTACTCTTTAAACATGGTTCATTGTTCTTGGTAAGAATTTATAGTTTAGGGGCTGGGGTTGTGGCTCAGTAGTAGAGTGCTCGTCTAACATATGAAAGGCCCTGGGTTCAATCCTCAGCACCACATAAAAATAAATAAATAAATAAACTAAATAAATGAATAAAGGCATTGTGTCCAACTACAACTAAAAAAATTTTTTAAAAAAATTTATAGTTTAATTAGAGAGATTAAACAGATATAGAAACAGGGTTTATCAATAGATTCTAAGTGTGCCAATAATGGTAAACATCATAAGAGGTATGAGTTCAGGAAATCAAATTATTAAAAACAAGTACTCTTTCTAGTGAACTGACAGTAATGAGAAACAATTCCTATTACTCATAAATATATTTTATGACTATACTGCACAAACTCACCTGTGTACACTGCTCATTGTTCAGGTCATCTCTCCTTTGGGTCAAAGCAGATATAATTCTAGAAATAAGAATTTTGGTTTCATTTTGTAAAATTTTATTTATTTGTAAGTTTAAGAACCCTGCCTTCCCTGAGGCAGAAGATAAAAGTTTATGAAGGCATGGAGGAGTATTATTTTGTCCACAAAAATGTGGATTAGAGCAAAGGTTAGCTATCTAATATATATTTTTATGATTTTTGTTTTGTTTTGGCTTGGGGTGTGGAAGGCAGTCTCACTATGTTGCCCAGATTGGTCTTAAACTTCTGGGCTTACGTAATCCTCCTGTCTCTGTTCCCCAAGTGCTAAGACCTTGGTAGGTGCCAACACACCCAGCTCATACATTTTTTTAAGGGCACAGAAAATTAGTAAAAATAATACAAATAAGGGCAAGTACTTTTTTTTTCTCTTTAGATTGGATCTACCTATGTTGACTCAGGCTGGCCTCTTGAACCCCAGGCCTGAAGTGATCTTCCTGTCTCAGCCTCCTGGGTAGCTGGAACTATGATGTGAACCACCATGCCTGCTTAAGGCAAACACTTCTTAAGAGTACACTATGTGCTGGACACTGCTCTAACCTCTTAATACATTCAGTAACTATGAACTTAATACTATCATTGTCCTCATTTGACAGATGTGAGGTAACTTGCCCAAGATCATTCAGCTAGTACACAAAGAAGGTTTGACTCCAGGCAAGCAGTGTGGCTTCAGTGAAAAAATTCTTAACCAATACACAATGCGGCCTCTTCAGATTATTAATGCTGATTCTAAGGATGTATCCTGGGGTCTTRGAAATTTCTGATAAATAATTCCAAAAAGCATGAATTAAACTAATGTCAGTTTGAAATGGCAACACCGTTATCAAACCCCAAATCCAACGTGACTTTAGATGTTACAATCCGGGAGCAAAAAGGGAGGAAATCTACAAGGAAGACCTTATTCATACCAAACATGAAGTTTTAGACAGAATTAACACAGCAATGTAGACCTGCACTATTCACTGCCTACATGAGGAGCAAATACAGAAAAAAATACATTGCAGGAAGATCAAATTTCTCCTTTTTTTTTTTTTTTTAAATGAAAGACTTCTAGAACTGTATCTCTGGGCAATTTCTAGGTTTTTTTTTTTTTTTTTTTTTTTTTTTTAAGACGGATAGCATGACTTTATTTATTTATGTGGTGCTAAGATTCAAAGACAATGTTTCACCCATGGTAGGCAAGAACCCTACCACTGAGCTTCAGTCCCAGCCCAATTCCTAGTTTTTAACCAACAAAATATAATGACTTTGATCACAATTCTGTAAATACTATATATGGTATACATAGTCAAGATTAGAAGGGAAGATAGAAAAGTAGCAAAAGACATTAGTTAACTTCTCTTATGACTCCCCCTGACCCCCAGTACTGAAGCATGAAACTGGGGCACCATACCACTAAGCTATTTCTGCAGCCCTTTTAATTAATTAATTTTTAGTTGTTGGGCTGGGGTTGTGGCTCGAGCGGTAGCACGCTCGCCTGGCATGCGTGCGACCCGGGTTCGATCCTCAGCACCACATACCTACAAAGATGTTGTATCCGCCAAGAACTAAAAAATAAATATTAAAAAAATTCTCTCTGTCTCACTCTCTCCTCTCTCACTCTCTCTTTAAAAAAAAAWTTTTTTAGTTGTTGATGGACCTTTATTTTATTCATTTATTTATATGCGATGCTAAGAAGCAAACCCAGTGCCTCGCTCTACCACTGAGCCACATCCCCAGTCCACTTTAATTTTTTTTGTTTTTGGTACTGGAAATTGAACTCAGGAGCACTCAACCACTGAGGACATCCTCAACCCTATTTGTGTATTTTTATTTAGAAATAGGGTCTCACTGAGTTGCTAAATACCTCACTATTGCTGAGGTTGGCTTTGAACTCATGATCCTCCTGATTCAGCCTCCCAAGCCACTGGGATTACAGGTGTGTGCCATCATGCCTGGCTCTCCCTTTAATTTTTTGAGACAGGATCTCACTAAGTTGCCCAGGCTAGCCTTGCCTTTCCTCAGCCTCCAAGTAGCTAGAATTATAGGTGTACAACACTGCACCTGGTTTCTATCAGCTTTAATGTCTACTGTTAAAGCACAAAGTAACATTTTATTTTCTAAGGCAGCAACTTGATTGATGGATCTTGAGACACATAAGTCAGAATCTTCACGCATACCTGTCTGTCGCCATGACACCAGCCATGGTGATAGCACCAATAATACCAATAAGTTTATACTTAAATATGGTGCTAGAGAGCTGCTTCCGTACCACCAGATGCATGTCATCCTGCAATGAGAGAAAGATGGAGAAAGATGAAGATGCTGGAATGGCACAGCAAAAGAATCTATGGATGCTGAGCTTAAAAGAAAACTAGAGTAGGAAGGGTTCTGTCATTTACTATGTGATCTTCAGCAAATTGTTTCATCTCTCTGAGTCTCAAATTTTTCCTCTATAAAATGGAAAACCTTGCTTTAAGGATTAGAGACAAATTATAAAAAATTTCTATAGCACTGCCTGGCACATGATAGACTTTCAATAACAAACTGTTGTTATCATCATGGTGGATGTTCTATATGGTTATGTCCCTGTTCCTGGCTTCCTCAAAATATTATAAATCACCAAATGACCCAGCAATTCTATTCCTAGGTATACATCCAAAAAATAGAAACTAAAACAAATGTATACCAATGTTCATAACAGCATTATTCAAATAGCCAGAGGTAGAAACCACCCAAGTGTCCATCAATAAATGAAACAAACTGGTATATATAAAATTGATTATACAGCTATAATAAAGTTAATTCTGGGGGCTGGTGTTGTGGCTCAGTGATAGAGTGCTTGCCTAGCTCATGCGAGCCCTAGGTTCGATCCTCAGAATCACACAAAAATAAATAAATAAAATAAAGGTATTGTGTCCAACAACAACCAAAACATAAATATTAAAAAAAAAAGAGTGAGTCTTGACATATCCTACTACATAGACAAACCTTTAAGACATTATACCAAGTGAAATAAGCCAGACACATGAAGACAAATATTTTATGATTCCACTTATATGAGGTATCTGGAATAGACAAATCCATAGACAGTGGTTTAGAGATTAGTAGGTGCTGAGAGCAGGGAAATATAAAATTATTGGCTAAAGAGTAAAAGATTTTTATTTGGGATGATGAGAAACTCCTAAAATCAGAGGAAATGGTTGCTCTATGTTTTTATGCACATAAATGGTTACACTATAGCCTTTTCATACATAAATATAACACATTTTGATCATTTCCATCCCCATTAGCCCCCTTCCCCTCCCTGCTCCCTTTCTACCTTCTCTAATCAGACTCCCTTCTACTTTCATGATCTTTTAAAATTTTCCCCTATATTCCACAGGAGAAAAAACATTCAATACTTGTCTTTCTGAGCCAGGCAATGTTCTAGAAATTTTTTATAATTTGTCTCCAATCCTTAAAGCAATCTTTTCCATTTTAGAGGAAAAATTTGAAACTCAGAGAGATGAAACAATTTGCTGAAGATCACACAGTAAATGATAGAACCCTTCCTGGTCTAGTTTTTTTTTTTTTTTTTTAAACCCAGCACCCATGGATTCTTTTGCTGTGCCATTCCAGCATCTTCTCCTTTCTCTGGCTTATTTGCCCTATCATGATGATCTCATGCCACTGAATTATTCACCAAAAACTGTTAAAATGGTAAATTTTATGTTAAGTATATTTTACTAATTTAAAAATAATGAAAGGATTTGGCAGTAGAGTGCTTGCCTAACACATGTGAGGCCTTGGGTTCAATCCTCAGCACCATATAAAAATAAATAAAATAAAGATATTGTGTCCAACTACAACTAAAAAATAAATATATATAAAATAGAATCAATACCTTATAAAAAATTAAAATAATGAAGTAGTTTTACATCATTGATAATGAAGCAATCTCCAATATAGTCTTCTAAATGCAAAAAGCAAAGACATAGAATAAGAGGAGGGAGGGGAAGACCACAGATAAACACAAATTTGTAAATGCTCAGAACTCTCAGAAAGATATAAATAGGGATACTGTTATTAGAAAGACAATTCAGATGCCTAGAATACTGGGGGAGAGGGAATTATTTTTCACTATATATCTTCTATACATTTTGGGTTTTTTAAAAATTTTTTTTTGTAGTTATAAATGCACAGAATTTATTTTAATTTTTATGTGGTGCTAAGGATCAAACCCAGTGCCTCACACATGCTAGGCAAGTGCCTTGTCACTGAGCTACAGCCCCAGCCCCCTTCTATACATCTTGAAATTTGTATCACATGTATATATTATCTTGCCAAAATATTTTTTTTAATTAAGAAAGCACTGGTTGTTCAAACTATAGTCCAATACAGATTACCACCACAAGGTGGCACTAAAGATACAAAATCACTAGGAGTTACAATTCCAACCTAACTGGTCTTAATATATAGAGAGAGGGGGGGAGGGAGGGGGGGAGGGAGGGGGGGAGGGAGGGAGAGGGAGAGGGAGAGAGAGGGGGGGAGGGGGAGAGGGAGAGAGAGGGAGGGAGGGAGAGGGAGAGAGAGAGATAGAGAGAGAGTTTTTTTTAAGAAGAAAAAATCTCTAAAACACTCAAAATAGAACCTGAATAGCTTTTTTCTTTTTCTTTTTTTTTTTGGTACTAGGGATTGAACTCAGGAGCACTCGACCACTAAGCCACATCCCCAACCCTATTTTGTATTTTATTTAGAGACAGGGTCTCACTGAGTTGCTTAGCGCCTCGCCACTGCTGATGCTGGCTTTGAACTCATGATCCTCCTGTCTCAGCCTCCTGAGCCACTGGAATTACAGGCATGCACCACCATGCCTGGCCCAAATAGCTTTTCTTTCTTGATTTCACCAACCCATCTTTACTCCAAAAGACCAAGTTTCTCCAAGACATAAGATCCAATCTACCAAGCACCTCAGTGCCTGGCAAACAGTAGGCACTTAATGCTAATGGTAAGAAAAGAATGAAAAATTCGGGACTGTCACTATGTATTCCCTTTTACATCACTACTGAACAGTTTAGAGTGATTTGCCTAGCAAAATTTTAGTAAAGAAGTAAAGATTCTTCCTTAACACACAAACTCTTACCTGAATGTGGCTGCTAGCTTCGTGTTTGCTAAATGCCAACATGCTAAGAATATAGAAGAGTTTTCGTATTTGCTGAGGGGACATATTATCCAGATAATCTAAAATGCCCTGTGATGGGAGTAAAATAACAGTGAGTTTAGTGACTAACATTTTTTTCTCTTTAAATCAGAAACTTAAAATCCTTATAAGAAACATAAACATACAGCACAACAGCTATTCACCAAAAGCTCAACTTGTGAACACTATGCTCAGAACCTAAAGATTTCATATTCTGAACGTAAGCTAAAGGGCTTATGAAGCTTTGTAAGCCCATCTTATTATCAGAGACTAGGAAGCACCACCAGGAAAGATAAAGTCTCCATACTCTTGAGTCTGGCATATTTGCCCTTATCACGTTGGCCTCTGAACTCTGAATCAGGACTTTCAACACCTCTGCTTTGTCTTCCTAGTACACCTCTGACTTCACTGTATTCTTTATTTCCACTCTTTTTTTTCTCAGTGAAAACAATATTCCACCAAAAGTTGTCTCCAATCCTACTCCTTATGATGTCATCCCTTTCCAACTTCTACTCCATGAATTATTTATCCTGTCTCTGCAGATCTGGAGGAGGTCACCAGGAAACTGTACTTTTTGACCTTGGGCAACACCTCAGTTTTCTGTTATAAAGGGATAACAGAAGGTCTTTCAAAGGTGACCTGAGGATGACGTAGTACTAGCTTTATAAATTTTCAACTAATTAATTAAAGAATATTTTCCATTTCTTCTTTTCTATTGAATCCTTCTTTTGGTCCACAAGTTATCTCAAACCTCATCACCTAAATATATCTCCCTTGTTTCTCTCTCAAGCTACTCTCTCCGCCCCTTAAGTTTTCTCAAATGTTGACTCCATACCCCCAAGTTATTGCTCCTTATTCAAGTAACACTCTTTTGACAAAGGTTACCAGAGATAGCTTAACTGCCCAAGAAAATGGCTTCTTATCGATCTTCATTCTCTATACCATCCAACACTATAGAAAATCCATGAGTCTTGAAGCTCCCTTTCACCTGGGCTTTTTTTTTTTTTTAATATTTATTTTTTAGTTTTAGGTGGACCCATATCTTTATTTTACACTTATGTGGTGCTGAGGATGGAACCCACTATCTCATGCATGCTAGGCAAGTACTCTACCACTGAGCCACAACCTTAGCCCCTCAACTGAGCTTTTACTACCTGACATCATATTATTCACCTTGTTTTCTCATTCTCCTTGCATGGACATTTGCTCTAGTCTACCACTTTAATGTTCTCAAAATTTCTGCATTCTCCAGGCTTCCGCCTCAAAAACTGTCTCACTTTAACTCACACCTGTATGGTTATCGATATATGCACATTCAAACTAAACCCTCCTCCACACATGTCCCCTAGGCTCCAAACCAGAATTTCCAACTTTCCATAATCAGGTACATATGGAGATAACAAACTGAATTCATTATCCTTTCTGCAGAAGATGCACTCTCTTCCGGCTCTTCTCAGCTCAGGAAATGGACAGCCAATCATATAGTTTTCTATGATATAAAATTTGGACCTAATTCTCTGTTCCTCATTTGTTAAATATTCCTGATAATCATACGGATGGTAACACTAACTTGTCTTAAAAGCAAATCATTCCCTCTCTTTTCTTATTCTCACTCCTTTGGACCATTTCAGTGGTCTCCAATCCAACCACAATATGTGATTAGGTCAACTTCTTATAAAAATCTTTATTAGCAAGCCAGGAATGGTGGTGGACAGCTATAATCAAAGCTACTCATTAGGCTAAGGAGGATCTCAAGTTCAAAGCCAGCCAGGTCAATTTAGTGAGACTCTGCCTCAAAATAAAATAAAAAGTGCTGAGAATGCAGCTCAGTGGTAAAGTGCTCACCTAGCATGTGTGAGGCTCGAGTTCAATCCCCAATACTTAAAAAAAAAAAAAGTCGGTACTGGCTTCCCATTGTTTATAAAATCAAACTGAAACTCCTTAGCATGATTTGTTTGCTTGATTCTTACAGTATAGGGCTCGAACCCAGGGGTGCTCTACTACTGTACATCCCCAGCCCTTTTTGATTCAGTGTCTCACTAAATTGCCCAGGCTGCCTTTGAACTTATAATCCTCCTGCCTCAGTCTGCCAAGCAAGTGGGATTACAGGAATGCACCACCACACCCAGTTTTAGCATGGTTTTGATACCCTCTATACCTGGCCCTGTCCTATGTCCTACCAGTCTCAATTCCTAACACTTCCTGCCATACCCTACTCTATATCCATGCTTTTCCACTTATCATCACTCAGACACACATGGACTTAGGCACTACTTTGCTTCTGCTCACACTGTTCTCTTCTAGAACTCACTCCTTCCTTCCTTCCTCTTGGAGTCCTTCCTTTCTTTAAAAAAACAAAAAACAAAAAAACAAACAAACAAAAAAACACCTCACTCAAATGGTAGCCCCTCTTTGAAGGCTTTTCCAGCTTTGCAAACCAAGTTTAATTATTCCTTCTCTGTTATACCTATAGCAATTTCTCTTCATTACAGATTTCATCATTTCTATTTCAGTGACTTGCTTATGTGTCTTAATCTCTATCATCAAGGGCAAAGATCTTTACATCCAGAGCACCCAGAACAGTGTAGCACATAGTTAAGTATTAAAAAGTTTTACTGAATGAATATGTAAGTGATGAGTCATTTTTTCCTATTATTGGCCCATCGATGTACTTCCTTCCACTCTTCCCACCCATTATAATGCTCAGAATCTAAAGAATATAAAATAAATGACTACTAACAGACATCAGATTACTCTCAAACACATTCAACAAAGAAAAATTATTCAATACATACAACAAAAGAGCCAGACATACCTTTACAAAGACAGCATTCAGTCTCATAGCAGATGGGTTTAATCTTATCAACTCAAGGAGGACATTCAATGCAGTATCAACTTCCGTTTCATTCCCACTGCAGACATGGGTCACAAGGGCACCAACTGCTTCCTGTACAATGCAGAGAGTCAATAGGTCAGTGTGGGGAAAAAAAAATATGGCACCGTCTATCGAAAGGGGTTCATGCCCAAGAATTTCCCAGGTTCTCCTTTGTTAAAATCACAACTCACCTGATCTTATTATTTATTATCTAATTTTCATTGTCATTGGCTTCAGACAATGGAACTTCACTCCCATCCCAACTTAACCTATTTCCCACAATTTATCAGTGAACACTATCTCAGCCCTCCTGATTTTGATCCTTGGTGTATCTTTCTTTCTCTTTCCCATATGAGTTGAATTTTACTCCTAAAGTTAAGGTTGGGGCTGGGGATATGGCTCAAGCGGTAGCGCGCTCGCCTGGCATGCGTGCGGCCTGGGTTATCCTCAGTACCACATACAAACAAAGATGTTGTGTCTGCCAAGAACTGAAAAATAAATATTAAAAAACTCTCTCTCTCTCTAAAAAAAAAAAAAAAAAAAAGTTAAGGTTGGACATCAACTGTTGAAATTTCTTGAAAAGATGGCACTCAAGGAGGTAAAAGTTTTATAGATTTTCTTTTTTGGAGAAGAGGAGGGTACCAGGGATTGAAATCAGGGGCACTCAACCACTGAGCCACATCCCCAGCTCTTTTTTGTATTTTAGAGACAGCATCTTGGTGAGTTGCTTAGCTTTCATAATCACTCTCCACAAGTACAGCCCTCCCTCTGGATATGCACTATTAAATTTTGTGTCTTGTGTTCATGGGGACAGTGTTAGAACTTAAGTATTTCTCATTATTTTTTACTATACTTATTTTTAAGGGACAACTCTAGGATCAAATGGAGTTTATTATTTAAAGCTAAGTTTGTCATCCCTGTACTGGGAAAACTACCTAAAAACCCCACCCATTTAACCATGTCTATCTGAAGTAGAATGAATTTGGACTTTAATTTTAGATCCAAAGAATTCTGAAGCTCACAAGATAYCCCGCATCAGACTCCTCATTTTAAGACGGGGAACAGAACTGACCTTTCCTAAAGTCCAGTTTTTAATGCTTTCCAACTGAAGAAATAAACATTAAATCACATGCAATTCACTCAGAATTCTTTCATTCTCTTACCTCCTTAACCAAAATAAATATTTGAACATACCTGCTGGCAGTAAGTGTCAAAAAACTTAAATGAGTATTTGTATAAGAGACTGCCAAACAAAATTATATTTTGATCTTGAGAGTGGAACAAACTCTGAGCCAGTAATAGAATGGATGGACAAATATCCTTCAGAACCTGAAAAAGCAAAGAATAAACAGAAAACAAACTATGGGAAAAACTAATTATTAGAAATAATTAGTTATTATTTAATAATTAATAAAATAATTATTAGAAATAATGGTTATTTCTAAGAGTTGCTATTAACCACTAGTATCTCTTAAGAAAATATCCCTTTTGGTTGGGCATGGTAGCACACATCTACAGTCCCACTGACTTGGGAAGAGGATTAAAAGTTCAAGGCTAGCCTGGGAAATTTAGTGAGACCCTTTGTCAAAAAAAAAAAGAAAAGGCTAGGGATAACTTATAACTCAGTGGTAGACTGCTTGTCTTACATGTGTGAGGTCCTAGATTTGATCCCCAGTACTCCACAAAATATATAACATAATAATACAAACATTAAACCCATTTTCTATATAAAATCTTAAGACGCAACTACATATTTTTGTTAATTCCTAAGCCAAACCCTTCTAATATTTAGCTAGCAAAACACTACTCCCAGCTTCTGAAATTCCAGTTTGAATGGTTCACATTTGGTAAGAATCATCACCTGTGGTTCTCAATGTCAAATGTTCAAACACAAATGGATCAACAGATCCATATTTACATCTCTACTAGCATTCTTCTGGTTCCTATTTTTTTCAAGGTTTTTACAAACATCTTTGGACAAGATTTTATAAGGCCAATTTACCAAAGCTTCAAGTTGCAGAGAACCAGACAAGTAAAATGACAAATGCAAAATTAAGATTAAAAAGTCTCTGGGGCTGAGGTTGTAGTTCAGTGATAGAGCACTTGTCTGGCATGTGTGAGGCACTAGGTTCGATTCTCAGCACCACATATGAACAAATAAATAAGTAAAGGTTGATAACTGAAAAATATTAAAAAAATATTTAAAAAAAGATTCAAAAGTCTCAATAATGAGATGACAGGCAGCTGTAGAAGACTTTTATCTTAGATTAAAAATCAACTTATAGGGCAGAATTAGAAGACCTGAATTAAAACAATTCCTATAAAAGAACTGAATTTAAGTCAGTTAAAATTAGTTTTAATTTCATGAAAATCAATCTTAAAAAAAAAAAAACCTTAGGGCTGGGATGTGGCTCAAGCGGTAGCGCGCTCGCGTGGCATGCGTGCGGCCCGGGTTCGATCCTCAGCACCACATAC